ATTCGCGCATATCGGACCGTAACTTCCTGAATTATGGCCCCTGATTGTACGAAAAATCGTATTTTTAGCTTGTGGACCCTATAGAGGTCATAATTTTTATCCAATTTAAAAAAACATATTATTATTACACCGTTACAACATAAGGACAGCTGAGTTCGAATTTCATGAAAATCAGCCCAAAACTGACAGACAAAATGGCTGCCCTTCATTCTCAAATAGCGTAAAACATATGGTATATCAAGGTTGTGGACCCTATAGAGGTCACAATTTTTATCCGATTTTGTTGAAACTTGAAATGTAAGTTTATTTCGATATTCGCGCACATTGAATTTTAATTTCCTGAATTATGGCCCTTGATTGTAGGAAAAATCACTTTCTTCTTAGCTTGTTCTCTATCCATCTCTCGAAAATGTGGGTGTATCCTGCCTGGCAGCCGCTGGTTAACCTGTTCGTTAATTAACGCACCTAGTACAGAAAACACACTGTCGCAGAGATTTTCACCCCTAGCGATAATTAATTCACCTTTCAGTCAATTTCTCCCCCCTGTTAATTAACACACAGTTTCTACAGATTTTACCCTTTTCGTATTAGATTTGATCCGATAATTAGAATTTTACCAATATTCATACAAATTTACTAACTTGTCAGTATTTATTATAGAGATGCTTAGTGTCTATGGCCGGATTTAAGGGCCAAAACTAAATGTAAGTTGAAAGTGTTATTATACATCATAGAAAATACCTAATACCTAAGATGCAAAATACATGTGTCGTTATACTTATAATGATGAATACATAATACCGTTAAAGTAAAAGTCAAATGTCAAATTACAAATGTTTTTTGGAAAAAATCCACTAATGTTGCAAAGAACACAACCTTTTCACATATACACTTCAACAAAGCAACTTTGCAAAATGACATTTGTCTTTTGTCTTTTAACGCATTTTGAGTTCTTGGGGTCAAAGGACAACGGTCAAAGGTCATCGGGGAATATGTAAAATTGTTAAAATGAACGCTCCCATGAAGGAAAGATAAGCTTGTGGTTGTCTGCTTATTTAACAAGCTTGTCGTTGTCTGCGTAGTGACCTTCTGGACACTATAAATATGTTGTATGGATTTTGACTTTACCGCTTTACTTGTTATTATCAATTAATGGAATCTTGCGTCAATTTAAATGTACGGAAACTGTATATTTGGAAAGATTAAATATATTAAATGATTATTATGTACGATAACCTTTTGAAATAAAATTTAAATTTTACTTTGATTTTGTATCTGTTCTTTGTTGTAAATTTCATGAAAACAAAACGATTAGTCCATTTAATGAAATGTTCTTTAATTTAGAAAGTAATTACAATGATTGATTTTAAAATGGTTCATTCAACAATGTTTTAAAGTTTTTACTGCCTGCCAGCAATCAAAAATTTAATTTAACAAGAGATGGAAACGTTTCATATCCCATCCCATATACTTGCCTATGCCTACTACAGTGAATAATGAGAAAAGATCTGATTCTGATTTAATATTTAATTTCATTTATTTATTTACTCAAGTGCAGTTTACGAAAGTTATCCGAAATATGAAACACCAATACCATAACTCCCCCAGGAAACTGTAATTTACTGACTTTACACAGTCCAATGACAATGGTATTTAAACAAAAATATGACAGCAAAAAAAAAATAAGTGAAATGAAATGGGATTTAACGTCCTAATTTTCTGCTCCTAATGAAGACGGGCATACGGCATACAGTGTGCTATGAGGGGCATTTTGCCCGGGCAGCGACACTGTGGCCCACTCTTGTAAGAATGATTAACGGTAATCTCAATAATGGATGGCACCTTGTTTAGATTATACATGTTGGCCTATCTAATATCAACATCATGACTGACAAGTCTCCAGATACTAAAAGAAGGTCCAGCCTATATCCGTTCTTTCCTTCTTAGGAGCATTCATTTTAACAATTTTACATGTGACCCGATGTCCTTTGACCGTTGTCCTTTGAACCCAAGAACTCAAGATGCGTTAAAAGAAAAAAGACAAATGTCATTTTGCAAAGTTGCTTTGTTGAAGTGTATATGTGAAAAGGTTGTGTTCTTTGCAACATTAGTAGATTTTTTCCAAAAAACATTTGTAATTTGACATTTGACTTTTACTTTAACGGTATTATGTATTCATCATTATAAGTATAACGACATATGTATTTTGCATCTTAGGTATTAGGTATTTTCTATGATGTATAATAACACTTTCAACATACATTTAGTTTTGGCCCTTAAATCCCGCCATATAGTGTCTAGTATAGTGCAAACAAGTGAGTCTTTGATACATAGGGGTTGTCTATATAAACACAGAGTTTTACACACTTACTTATTTATGATTAAGAATTGCAATTGCATGGATAGATTTAAATAACTGTGAAGGAATTGTATTGTGTTCATAGATAAGTAGAACTTTCCAAAAGTTATTATTCAATTGTTTTAAAATTGATATATGTGTTTTACATTAGCAAGATAGAAGCCTATTGAATTTCAGCAATTTCCGTTTATTATGTATAGAGTTATGGCCCTTGTTTCGAAGAAAGCAGGGGACTAATAAAATGGGTTCATCCTCCTGTCTGCCTGTTGGTCTGTCTGTCCTTCACACTTTTTGGGACACAATAACTCTCCTTCTGATTGAGCTAGAATGTAAACTTGGTGTAGGTGTTTATTAGGTCAATGCCTTGATGGAGTTCGAAGATGGGCATTTTCTGCTTAGGGTAAGCAGAAATAAGCCATTTGATTGGTTGATACTTTGTGAAACGATAACTTTAGTTCTAAATAAGTGAGGGTGATGAAATTTGGTGTATAGTTTTATTACATCAATACCTTGACTAAGTTCGATAATGAGCATTTTCTGCTCAGGGTAAGCAAAGCGATAAGTAATTTGATTGATTGACACTTTGGAACACAATAACTCTCATTCTAATTTAGCTAGAATGTTTACACTTGGCATAGATGTTTATTTGGTGAATGCCATGATGGAGTTCGAAAATGAGAATTTTCTGCTTAGGGTATGCAGAAATAAGCAATTTGATTGGTTGATCCTTTGGGACGCGATAACTTTAGTTCAAATTAAGTAAAAGTGATGAAACTTGTGTATAGTTTTATCACATCAATACCTTGACTAAGTTCAATAATGAGTATTTTCTGCTTAGGGTAAACAGAGCATTAAGCAATTTGACGGGTAGAGACTTTGGAACACAATAACTCTCCTTCTAATTGAAATGAAATGTAATGGGGTTTAACGTCCTACTGTTCTGCTCCTAACCTGGGCTAATGAAGACGGGCATACGCCATACAGTGCACTATGATGGAAATTTTGCCCGGGCAGCGGCGCTACGGCCTACTCTTATATCGAAATCCAACTGCCAAGGGATCTTTTATGTGCACGCCAATGTGTACACGGGACTTCGGTTTTTTGTCCCATCTGAACAACTAGACAGCTGTCCTTGTCAGGCCCTCCATCCTGCATCACTGACAAGGGGAAACCACGCCGGAAAATCTAAATGAACTTTCTCGGCCAATGCAGGGATCGAACACCCGACCTCCAGGCTAGCGAGCCAGCGTCTTACCCACGCGACCCCCCCTTCTGAGGTAGAATGTTCAAACTTGGCGTAAGGCATTCATTTCGTGAATGCCTTGATGGAGTTCGGTGATAAACATTGTCTGCTTACGGTAAGCAGAGATAAGCAATCTGATTGGTTGATGCTTTGGGGCATAATAACTTTGGTTATAAATAAGTTCGAGTGATGAAACTCCGAGTATAGATTCATCATATCATTACCTTGACAAAGTTCGATGATGAGAATTTTCTGCTTAGGCTAAGGAGCGATAAGCAATTTGATTGGTCAAGACTTTGTAACATAACAACTCTGCTTTTAATTGAGGTAGGATGTTTAAACTTGATGTAGATGTTCATTAGGTGAATATCTTGGCTGAGTTCAATGATTAACATTTCAAGCTAAAGCTAAGCAAAGCTTTGATTCTATCTGATAGAGAGTGATGAAACTTAGTGTATAGTTGATAATCAGTTTGATTGCTTGATACTTTTGAAAAAAATAAATGTTTGATTACTTAATATGTGTCATCTATTTATTTTGGGATTTCGGCGGGGGACATCAGCCTCACTGTTGGCTTGTTGAACCTAGGGAACGCTCTAACGCCAAAAGTTATCATTCCGATCTTTCTGAAATTTATATGCATTATTTAAATTAGTGAAATGAAGAATCCTATTGAATTGCAGCAATTTCTGTTTATTACGTCTATAGTTGTGGTCCTTATTTCACTTGAACCTTGTGAACGCTTTAATGCCAAAAATTATCACCCAATCTTTGTGAAATTTATATGCATGATTTAAATTAGTGAAGCGAAGAAGCCTATTTAATTTCAATAATTTCTGTTCATTATGTCTAGAGTTATGGCCCTTGTTTCACTTTGTTCAACCTTGTTGATGCTCGATCGATGAAATTAATTTATATGCATCATTTAAATTTGTGAAACAGAGGTCTATTGAATTTCAGCAATTTCTGTCAATAATTTCTAGAGTTCTGGCGATTGTGAACCTTGTGAACATTTGAATGACAAAAATGATCATCTGATCTGTATGAAATTTATATGCATTATTTAAATTAGTAAAACAAAAAAGCCTGTCAAATTTCAACAATTTCTGTAGATTACCCAGAGTTGAGACCCTTGTTTCAGTTTGTAGAACCTTTTGAACCCTCAAACAGCTAAAATTATAATCTGATCTGTATGGAACTGTCTTGTAATGGCCCCCAATTAGCTACAAAGGAATAAATATGCGACAACCCTTGACGACCACTAGGACGATTTAGCTGCTGTGGGCGTATGTTTCGTTGCCTGGCAACCTATCTTTTTATTTCGTGGCAAGCAGAGCTAATAATTACAAAATATTTTAATGGGCTATTAAATTTTGATATCTGAAATTAATTTTCCAGGCTCTAGAAAGAAAGGAATCATCATTAGATACAACAGCTATTATATTAGATCAGTCGTATTATAACTTGAACAAATTATTGAGTCGGTCTGCAGAGTATGGAAGAAGAGCATGGGAACATGCTAGAAGATTAGCAGACACTGCAAGAGATCTAGACAGGTATAAAGTCAGGCACTTAATGGAGAACAAATTTAAAAAAAAAAAATAGAACTCCGAATGAATACTGACTTGTTTCAGTACGTCAGGTCACGCCTTGTCACGTCAACAATCAAGTTACAACATGCATTATTGAGTATCTCCCTTAGAATTGTTACCGATTGGAGTAGGTTCAAAACAATAAAAAGTTTATGAAAATATGAATCAAAATGGCAGCTGAATATCGATTTGAAGATTTTTTGTAAAATCCAATATGGCGGCTAAACGGTTAAAAATGTTATTGAACGTCTCTGAAAATTAAAGATAATATCTGGGATTGACACCACCATATGTAAATTTTGGTCTGTTTTTAAAGTAGAGAGAACTATTCATTTTGTGAAAAATCAGAAGGCCTCAGTAATTTATAGATGAAGAATCCTATTGATTTTCAGTGATTTTTGATTGCAGGGATCTGCAACCACATCTACATTGGCAGAATGTTTGCACTATGCACAGTTTTGCTGCGAACTCTAAATTTGTGGATATTGTTTAAGGTCACAGGACGAAGAAGCCGATAATTACTGCCAGAGTTATGGCCCTTGATCACTTTGAAAAATCTTGTGGACGCTCTAGAGGCTAAAATTAATATCCGCTTGGAGTTAAATTTATACAGAGTGTTGAAGGTCATGAGAAGAAGAATCCTATTGATTTTCAGCAATTTTCGATTGCGGTGATCTTAGTTGGCTGTTTTTTTTGTCGGCTTTAGTCGCTTGAAATTCAATCAAGCCAATTGGTAAAACAATGAACCGGCCACTATGGTATAATAAATCAATCTACTTTCGGCTAAATTACAACGGGTTGGTTGATTATTACTTGTTAATTAAGAAGTCAATCAACTTGCTTGTCGGCTGCAACAACAGTCATACCTTAGTGAGAATCGGCCATGTGGTTCATAATCCATTAGGTCAATGAACCAGTTTTAAATAGCGTTTACCGTTATGATTTTTTTTATTTTATACACATTCTTACAAAGGCCTAATTTTTAAAATATTGTTGTTTTTTATACGCCCACATTGAAATGTGGTCGAATATTGCAGTGACCGCCCTAGACTCGTAAAACCTTTAGCCAAATTTTTAACCAAATCAAAATTTTATTAGCCAATTCAGAAAGTTTTAGCCAAATATTTTATATCATTTGTATTCATATGTTTGTTAATTGAAAATGAAAATAAATGTTTAATGGCTCAATACCACTCTTGTTGTAACTGAATAATATGTCCCAATCTTTATTCTGGTCAACAAATTGTACTATTTTACAATATTCCAATTAATTGATGATACAAATTTCATCTTAACACACCTAATTTAAAAAAATAGAAAAATTCAACTAAATGATTTGAAAAGCCTGACGTAAAGCTTTTCAAATGTGACTTGGATTTAAAAATATTTTTGAACCCTCTGGACAAGTAAAATAGGATTTAATGGATAATTTACACAACAGGTATGACACTAACACATCTAGTACTTAGAATAAGGCTATTTTTTTTATTTTCTGGAGCTGTCAAGCCAGCAAGAGTGTTATTGTCCCTTTAATATGTACTTATATAGTACACAAGAATATTATTTTATCTCTTTGTCCATGCAAAAGTTCACATTATTGAGAGAATGAATGCAGATAACAAAAAAATGTTTATACTTCTAGGACGTACTTCACAGTCACATGATTTAATTTACTCCATCGTCATAACAGAAAAGACACGAGGATTCTTTTTAAGACACCACTGATCAAATGCTCTGACAAATTCAAAATTTATGCTTTCCGGTCCATCCATTTTTATAAGCATGAGGTCATTGAGGGTTAGCTCGACGGTCTCGGTTAAAGGTCTAATTTTTGTCCACATGTTGATGAAGCCAACGAAGGACTTGCGTCCGAGATGACACGCTCACTCACGGAAGTAGATTCTGGACTAACAGTAGTCGTAGGAAAGAAAAGGGAATCTATCCTTATTTTGGGTTTACTAGTATTAGTTGTCATTGTTGTGGGTTTTATTTATTTGCTGCGTAAGTAAAGAAAACTTGTAGTGAAGCGAATGTAAACAACGCAGTGCCACACAAAAGGGGCGTAACTGTGTTTTATAGTCTTGAGACTCGATCTTTCGGTCGTTTTTTAATGCGTAACATTGACTGATTTGCGACTTGTAAGATTGAGACTAGAGTAATTAATGTACTAAAAATAGACACTCCATCGAGTCTATCGAAAGAAGCGTTGAACGAGACGATTTCAAGTTTAATATTAGCAGATTTACGAAATAACATTCTCTAAAATTCATTCGCCAAATTTTTCGCCAGTATCATCACTTTATTCGCCAATAAAAATAATTGTCGCCATTGGCGAATTGGCGAATGTCTAGGGCGGTCACTGTATATTGTCGTCGCCCCCGTCCGTCCGTCTGTCCGTCGTCCACAATTGCTTGTGGACGCTCTAGAAGCTAAAGTTAATATCTGATTGACTTTAAATTTATACACAGTGTTTAAGGTCTTGAGACGAAGAAGCCTATTGATTTTCAGCAATTTCCGATAATTACTGCCAGAGTTATGGCCCTTGATCACTTTGAAAAATCTTGTGGACGCTCTAGAGGCCAAAGTTAATATCCAATTGACCTTAAATTATACACAGTGTTTGAGGTCATGAGACGAAGAAGCCTATTGATTTTCAACAATTTCCGATAATTACTGCCAGAGTTATGGCCCTTGATCACTTCAAAAAATCTTGTGGACGCTCTAAAGGCCAAAGTTAATATCCGATTGCCTTTAAATTTATACACAGTGTTTAAGGTCATGAGACGAAGAAGCCTATTGATTTTCAGCGATTTCCGATAATTACTGCCAGAGTTATGGCCCTTGATCACTTCAAAAAATCTTGTGGATGCTCTAATGGCCAAAGTTAATATCCGATTGACGTTAAATTTATACACAATGTTTAAGGTCATGAGACGAAGAAACCTATTGATTTTCAACGATTTCCGATAATTACTGCCAGAGTTATGGTCCTTGATCACTTCAAAAAATCTTGTGGATGCTCTAGAGGCTAAAGTTAACATCCGATTGACATTAAATTTATACACAGTGTTTAAGGTCATAAGATGATGAAGCCTATTGGTTTTCAGCGATTTCTGATAATTACTGCCAGAGTTATGGCCCTTGATCACTCTGAAAAATCTTGTGGATGCTCTAGAAGCGAAAGTTAATATTTGATTGACTTTAAATTTATCCACAGTGTTTAAGGTCATGAGACGAAGAAGCCTATTGATTTTCAGCGATTTCCAATATTTGCTGCCAGAGTTATGGCCCTTGATCACTTTGAAAAATCTTGTGTATGCTCTAGAGGCCAAAGTTAATATCCGATTGACTTTCAATTTATACACAGTTTTTAAGGTCATGAGACGAAGAAGCCTATTGGTTTTCAGCGATTTCCGATAATTACTGCCAGAGTTATGGCCCTTGATCACTTCAAAAAATCTTGTGGATGCTCTGGAGGCTCAAGTTAATATCCGATTGAGTTTTAATTTATACACAGTGTTTGAGGTCATGAGACGAAGATTCCTATTGATTTTCAACGATTTCCGATAATTACTGCCAAAGTTATGGCCCTTAAGCTATCATCCGATTGACTTCAGATTGATACACAGAGTTTAAGATCTTGAGACGAACAAGTATATTGATTTTCAATGAATTTTTATGACTTGAACAGTTAAATCTATGATATTAAAAGCTTTGCATACAAAACGTTAGCATGGGGCAGAAATTTATAAAAACCAAACAAATTCTAATAGTTTTCTGATAATTACTTCGTGAGTTGTTGCTCTTAATCAGATTTTAGTGTATTATAAATGTGTCATTACCGAAAAAAGTAAAAATATGCGACAACCCTTGTTGACTGCCCGGACGATTTAGTTACTGTGGGCGCATGTTTCGTTGCCTGGCAACCTATCTTATTATAGGCTATATCATAATCGTACGTAATTTTTATTTTAAAGTAATTTCAATTATGGTTGTCAAGTGACAATTGTGCCGTTTGTCTTTCATCGACGAATGAATAAAAACTTTTTGCAAGTTATGTGACTAGTTACGTGATAGACAAAAAACTACAAATTGTGTTATGAAGAAATGCCATGGTGCCGTATCAGTTTATTTTGGCTACTGCATTTTCTGATACTGGCAATAGTAGACAAATGCTAATATTTTAGATCATCGACTTATGAAACGCAAACATTTCATCGAATAAACGAAGACAGTAATTTATTCTGGAATGTTACTGACATGAACTTCAAGCTGGTACGTGAATTAAATATGGAAAATTTTCAAAATGTATACCTGTCGTTATTTTTTTGGTAATATCATACATTAAAATATGACATTCTCCATAACAAATTATCAAGAATTATTTTTGTTGAAATCTAGTTATATTAAAGGGAATGTAAGCTTATAATATTAACCCATTTCCTACTGGACCTCATTTGACCCAATTCTGGCCGGTTTGTTTCAAAATGGATTAAGAACCCTGTCCGATTGACTTTAAATTTAACAGTGGTTTTTGTCATGAGATGCAGAAGCCCATTGATTTTCAATGGTTTCCGATAATTACTGCCAGAGTTATGACTCTTGATCGCTTTGAAATATCTTGTGGACACTCTAGAGTCTAAAGTCAATTTATACACACTGTTTAAGGTCATGAGAGGAAGAATCCTATTGATTTTCCACTATTTTGGATAATTACTGTCAGAGTCATAGCCCTTGACCCCTTTGAAAAATCTTGTAGAAGCTCTTTAGGCTAAAGTTAATATCTGATACACAGTGTTTAAGGTCATGAGACATAGAATCCTATTTATTTTCAACGATTTCTGATAATTACTGCCAGAGTTAAGACCCTTGATCACTTTGAAAAAACTTGTGGACTCTCTATAAAGGCTAAGGCTCCATTTCATTCATTCATTCTCTCTAGAGGCTAAAGTTAATTTAAATTGTTTAAGGTCATGAGACAAACAATCGAATAAATTCTAATGTTGTGCAATATGTACATGTTCAGAGTTGAATACAAGTTTTGATGATGTTCCTTGCAAGAAATAATGTCTTACATTGAACTTACTGTATTTCTATTTCTAAATTTATAAAGTATTTCATAAGACTAATATATCTTTTATAGATTGTTTTCTAAAACAAGAGCTGATGCAAAACTACCACTGAAAGCTGCTAAAGTGTACAGTAATATCGTAGATGCCATCAACCAGGCCAAAAATGCTTCAAGAATAGCCTTACAGACGGCAAGAAGTACAGTTGATATAGTAAGTTGTTGTAATGATATCACACACAATATTAATACACTTAAATAAATTTTGATGCTGTAGTATTTTTTCCTCCCGTTTTCTCATTAGCACATTAAAGGCTACAACAATAATCCATTTAGGGGGACTATTGAAATGAGTTCGGCCCTCCATACGCCTGACTGCCACACTTTTTGGGACATAATAACTCTGCTTCAATTTAAGTGAGAAATGAAATGGGGCTTAACATCCTACTTTCTGCACCAACCAGGCTAATAAAGAGAAGCATATGCCATGGAGTGTGCTATGAGGGAAATTTTGTCCAGACAGTGGTGCTATAGAATACACTCATTTCAAATTCCAACTGTCAAGGGTTCTGTTTGTGTTAACCTGTGCATTTATTTGATATTGTATTTTAGAGTAATGTAACTGGTCTGCGGAATGATGTAACAAAATCTATAGAAAAAAGTAAAAGACTGCAAGAAAAAGCGACAATGACAAAAGAAAAGGGAATACAAGGTACTTTATGTATAGGATATTAACTTGGGCTTTGCCCGCATGTTCTCTATCATATCAATCCGAGGGAAAGTAGGTTTATATCCGACATATACAACGCCATTTCACCCTTAAATTGAATGGGCTCTTCTATTAAAAAGTAACAATGATTGGATAATTGCTCGATAGTTTCCGCCAAAAAGCGAAAATTACCGAAGTAATCACGTGAATGTCATGCATGTTTTTGTTTATATGTCGCCATTTTGGAGTAATTGAATTGAAAGCAAAAACAAAATGGATAGTAATACGGAGTCAGACAAGTAATCAATCCTTTTTAGCCTTCAAGACTGCCAGAAAAAGCGACAATGAAAAAAGAACAGGGAATACAAGGTACTTTATGTATAGGATATTAACCTACCTGAGGTTGATAATATCAATCCGAGGGAGAGTAGGTTTATATCCGACATATACAACGCCATTTCGCGGTTGATATGAAATATATGAAATATCAACCTGTCATGACGTCATCAGCGGTTGATATGAACCAAATATATCAACCTATGATGACGTCATGACAGGTTGTTATGAGATATAACTGCTATGGACATCAAAGAAAAAACTACCACCGGTTGTATATTCATATACAACTTGGTTCAATCAAGATATTTTAGTGCATGAAAATTAGGAATTAGTCAAATTATTAAAATTATTGTCATATTTCAGATATTCATAATTCACACATAGCTTGGAATTCCCAGATATCAATCTGCCAAGTCTATTAGTGCTACATATTTCAAGAACTTTAGAAAACATTTTAAATTTTGAAATTAGAGCATTTTATACGCCCACATTTTTATCCGATATATCACCGTTACACCCTAAGGATGGTTGAGTTAAAATTTCGTAAAAATCGGACCGAAACTGACAGACAAAATGGCCGCCCGTCGTTCGCAGATGGTGTCAAAATATTATGTATCAGGGTTGGGGACCCTCGGGAGGTCACAGTTTTCATCTGATTTTGATAAAACTTGAATTGCATGTTTATAACCCACAGATCTCGGTTCCTTTCGATATTCGAGCATATCAGACCATAACTTCCTGAATTATAGCCCCTGATTGTACGAAAAATTGCATTTTTAGCTTGTGGACCCTATAGAGGTCATAATTTTTATCCGATTTAAAAAAACATCTTATTATATCACCGTTACACCCTAAGGATGACTGAGATTGAATTTCGTGAAAATCGGTCCAAAACTGACAGATAAAATGGCCGCCGTTCGTTCTCAAATAGCGTAAAAATATGGTATATCAAGGTTGTGGACCCTATAGAGGTCACAATTTTTATCCCATTTTGTTGAAACTCGAAATGTAAGTTTATAACCCAAAGATCTCAGTTCCTTTTGATATTTGCGCATATCGGACCGTAACTTCCTGAATTATGGCCCCTGAGTGTACGAAAAATCACGATTTTAGCTTGTGGACCCTATAGAGGTCATAATTTTTATCCGATTTTAAAAAACGTATTATTATATCACCGTTAGACCCTAAGGATGACTGAGATTGAATTTCGAGAAAATCGGTCCAAAACTGACAGACAAAATGGTCGCCCTTCGTTCTCAAATAGCGTAAAAATATGGTATATCAAGGTTGTGGACCCTATAGAGGTCACAATTTTTATCCGATTTTGTTGAAACTTGAAATGTAACTTTTTAACCCAAAGATCTTGGGTCCTTTCGATATTTGCGCATATCGGACTGTAACTTCCTGAATTATGGCCCCTTATTGTATGAAAAATTGAGTTTTTAGCTTGTGGACCCTATATAGGTCATAATTTTTATCCGATTTAAAATTTAAAAAAACATATTATTATATCACCGTTACACCCTAAGGATGACTGAGATTGAATTTCGTGAAAATCGGTCCAAAACTGACAGATAAAATGGCCAACATTTTGTCTCAAATAGCGTAAAAATATGGTATATCAAGGTTGTGGACCCTATAGAGGTCACAATTTTTATCCGATTTTGTTGAAACTTGAAATGTAAGTTTATAACCCAAAGATCTCGATTCCTTTTGATATTTGCGCATATCGAATTGTAAATTCCTGAATTATGGCCCTTGATCATAGGAAAAATCACTTTCTTTTTAGCTTGTTCCATATCCATCTCTCGAAAATGTGTACCATAACAATTTTTAATTGTCAAAAGAATAATTTATTTCTGTGTTCTTTGTATTATTTCGAACATCTACATCATCAGCGGTTGATATGAACCGAATATATCGACCTGAGATGACGTCATTGGCGGTTGATATGAAATATCAATCTGTCATGACGTCATCAGCGGTTGATATGAACCGACTATATCAACCTATGATGACGTCATGACAGGTTGTTATGAGATATAACTGCTATGGACATCAAAGAAAAAACTACCACCGGTTGTATATTCATATATAACTTGGTTCAATCAAGATATTTTAGTGCAAGAAAATTAGGAATTAGTCAAATTATTAAAATTATTGTCATATTTCAGATATTCATAATTCACACATAGCTTGGAATTCCCAGATATTAGTGCCAAGTCTATTAGTGCTACATATTTTAAGAACTAAAGAAAACATTTTAATTTTTGAAATTAGAGCATTTTTATACGCCAACATTTTCATGTGGACGTATATTGTCGTCGCCCCTGTCCGTCCGTCCGTCCACAATTGTTTGTGAACAGTCTACAGGTCACAATTTTTATCCGATTTGGTTTAAACTTGAAATGTATGCTTATAACCCAAAGATCTTGGTTCCTTTCAATATTTGCGCATATCGGAACGTAATTTCCTGAATTATGGCCCCTGATTGTACGAAAAATCGCGTTTTTAGCTTGTGGACCCTATAGAGGTCATAATTTTTATCCTATTAAAAAAAACGTATTATTATATCACCGTTAAACCCTAAGGACGGCTGAGTTCGAATTTCGTGAAAATCGACCTAAAACTGACCGACAAAATGGCCGCCGTTCGTTCTCAAATAGCGTAAAAATATGGTATATCAAGGTTGTGGACCCAATAGAGGTCACAATTTTTGTCCGATTTTGTTGAAACTTGAAATGTAAGTTTATAATCCAAAGATCTCGGTTCCATTCGATATTCGCGCCCATTGGACCGTAAATTCCTGAATAATGGTCCCTGATTGTACGAAAAATCAAGTTTTTCGCTTGTGGACCCTATAGAGGTGATAATTTTTATCCGATTTAAAATTTAAAAAAACGTATTATTATATCACCCTAAGGACGGCTGAGTTCAAATTTCGTGAAAATCGGCCCAAAACTGACAGACAAAATGGCCGCCCCTCGTTCTCAAATAGCGTAAAGGGACAAAACATAGCCGTCAACTTGGACATGTTGTAAATAAAAATAAATGTATATTTGTTATGTTTTTGTTATTGTTCCTAATTGATATGTTTGAAACCCTCATAATTTGGATTGAGCCAAACTCCTGAAAAATAGTACCTATTGGATAAGGCTTCAGATTTCTAACAAAAATTTGGTGTATGTTTTAATTATCTGGATAAAATTGTTCTATAATGATTAAATGCTGAATTAGGACAACGCCACAATCTCTAGGGACTGTAAAAATAAACAATATCTTTAATTCAGTTTTCTAATATTTTTTTCCTATTTTCCATCCGAGACGACAACGTAACGCTCGATATTTTGTATTGTGTCTAAGCGTTGATGTTTTACAATAAGTCCACTCACATTTGGTAGAATTTGGCATAAACCAAAGTTGGCATAAAGTGTGTCTTACACCGATCTGTTCTGTATTTAGGACTCATTTCCACGTTATTTTTGCTGTAACAAAATGTCGAACGTCACGTAAAATTCATTTCATCCGCAAACACATAATGTTGACTTTGGACAAAATGCATTCCAAAACTTTTCGTAACTACTAAGAGGGAACCTTTTTTTTGCGAAAACGGAAGCGAATACAACTTGCCATTGAGGGAGAATAAAGAGAACAAAACCTGACTTTGGTAAATCTATCAATTCCTCATGTTTTCAAATTCCGTCACTTTCTAAACATAGTAACGATCGATGTTCGCAGATAGCGCATCTGTTCAGAATGTAAACATCCGGATTCCTGGTTCCTTTCAAATCGAAGCTCAGGGATGGTGTCTGCTATTCTGCTATTTCGCTCTATATCACGTTTACACATCTAATCTACATGGAATTTGTTGCCATTTCAATCATTAGAATTTGTGATAACGTTATTTTCCATCCGTCACATTTTTGATAACGTTATTTTCCATCCATTACATTTTTGATAACGTTATTTTCCATCCATTTATTGATAACGTTACTACATTTCCATCCAATATAACAAACAAAAACCAGCTTTTATTTTGATTAAAGCTTGGCAACAGATTATTTTGTTATTTATTTGTTTAATACATAATTCACAGATTGAATAAAAATTATTCTAAATAATTAAATCAAGAAATTAAATGCTGTAGAGATATAACAGTTGTTATTTTCCATCCGAGTTATGCCAATTGATAATTCATCTATAATTTTTAAAGTAATGGGAATAAACAGTCCATTCAAAGTTATTATAAGGTGGAAATAACATACTATTAACTTAACCCGTTAAATGCGTAGGGCTTATATATCGTCTTTGACAAGTGCCACTCACCGTGTGTAGGGCGTAATATAACGCCTTAGACAGGGGATGGATCTAGGAATTTTGAAAAGGGATGGCGCTGCAAAATGAAGGCATTGACCGCGGAGACGGGGCACGCCGCTGTGGGGGGGGGGGGGCCCCAAGAAAAATATCCGTCATTTCCTTGCATCTGTAGCCATTCCAAGAGCTATTTCCCAGACTGGTGTGTTTGAGTCAATGGTTCGAGTCATTTGGGATCCCTACAACGGGTTGGGAACGGACATATTTGAGTCTGAGAAAAGGCACTTTCAGCAGTAAAAAAGGGCACTGTCGAAAATTAGGGGGTGCGCGTGCCCCTCGCGCCCCCCATTGAATCCGCCTCTGTTAGAGGTATTTTCCCCAACCCATTCTTCGAACATACGATCGCAGCATGTGTAGGACGTTATATTACGTCTGGTCGAAGAAATCTAATTGAAGGGAGACAACTCTATTTAGCGTTAGTTTTAATATGGTTTCAGACTACTATCATTTGTATTCAGGAATAAAAAGGTCCAAAACGACGTTTTTCGTCAAATTAATTACACAATAGGGGGTAGTTAACGTTTTAAAAACTACAACTTAACGGGTTAAAAAAAGGTCGAACAGTCATTTCTAAACCTCAAATGGTCATTATTTATCATGCAATATCTGTGGTTCTTTTTTGCTATCTCTGGGTACCGTTACCGAAACACTCATATGAAGGAGCAAACCCGCTAAGCTATCCCAATCAGCGCTCACGCTGTCGATCGCCATTTCCGCCAATTGCGATAAAAATAGATTTTTGGTGATAAAGTATTGAGTGTGGCGAAATTTTTGGCGATAACTTTTTCCTGTATGGCGATTCTTTTTTGACCGTGGCGATAAGTTTTTCTTGCCACAAAGCTTTGATTTCCACTCTGTGCATACACACGGTCGTTACAGTCTATTGCACTTGGCTGAGTCAGTTATCAATCAATTGGGTACCAATAATAGAGATAACTTTTGTCTATTAATCAATCTTGGATTAGTGTTGATTACTATTTACAGTAAGAGTAAATAAACTAATTAAGGGACAAAAGATTTATTTATTTGTCTTCAATTACGAATCGGTGACTTTTTTGACGGTTTCTATATATTCAAAATGGCAGACACTGTGAATAATACTCGTTCGATTTGTTTGGGATTATTGGATTATGACGTCTGTTTTATCTTTTTCTTACTCCTGTTGCCCGTATTGTTAATAGGGGGGTTGGATGGCTGAATGGTTAGCGTGCGCGCGCTGTATCATAAAGTCTGTCATTGAGTCGACTGGCGTGGTTTCGAATCCCCGGTTGTACGTGACAAGGAGTAGGGTCGCCTGTCCAACCTCGTGGGTTTTCTCCGGGTCCTCCGGTTTCCTCCCACTGCTAAAGACCCCTACGCACAAGGGAATTATTGAAATAAAATTAAACCATATGTTAGTCCCGAAATGACCTGGTTTGTGTCAAGTGGACGTTAAACCCCATTTCTCTCTCTCTCTCTCCGTATCGTTAATAAATGAAACCAGGTTTGTTGTTCCAGTGTATATATTCTTTGGGTTGTCGAAAGTCAGTTATCATCAAATCACATGCCATGAGTCATAGCGAAAAATTGAACAGTCTTCGTCAAGGTCCGATAGAAGAATGTCAGATTTTATTTAGTATGTCACCACCAAAATGCTCCAAGTCTACAGATGATACTGACATCAACTTTCGTCCATCTAATAATATTACATCCTTGAATGTTGAAGCAATATCAGCTTCTACAATAGGTCTGCATTTTAGTTTACCTCAATAGTTCACGACATAGAAAAATTTCGAAAAACATAAAATCTTAAAAGTGGTTAACCCAGATGTTGAAATTGCTTTCAAAAAATAGGCTTCTGCAAAGGAGAGAGGCATTTTGTAAATTATAATATCATATGTATATTGTATATATTACTGAAAAAATATAATAGATACTTTTTTTGTCTTATTTTTTTGGCGGAAAAAATATATGGCTAATAAATTAAAATGAGAAATTGGCGGGAAAAAAATGAAACCCAGAGTGAGCACTGATCCCAATATATGAATTTTAAATTCATAAAATGGTCCCTTGGTATGAATCAAAATAGATATATGACCTACTATAAGATTTATTTTAATCTTCCTGTTGGGAGTAATATGTCCCTTCACTGTGCAAATAGCCATATCAAGGTTGTGGACCCTATAGAGGTCACAATTTTTATCTGATTTTGTTGAAACTTGAAATGTAAGTTTATAACCCAAAGATCTTGGTTCTTTTCGATATATTTGCGCATATCGAATTGTAATTTCCTGAATTATGGACCTTGATTGTAGGAAAATCACTTTCTTTTTAGCTTGTTCTCTATCCATCTCCCGAAAATGTGGGCCTATCCTGCCTGGCAGCCTCTGGTATCTCAAATAAAATGGTTGCCATTATAATACCACCTTATAGAAAACTCAACTAGTATTTTGTATTAGTCCTGACATATATTGTTGAACCCATAACCTATAACATTTTTTTGTGCACTATGATTATATATTTTTCCTTCCTACCCTAATAGAAGAAATATCTTAAGGTTTTCTAAAAAAAAAAAAATAATTAGTCTTTTAAGTGCGCTATTACTGGTACATGAATGGGCGTCCTCGCTAGAGATAAAGGGACATAATTTATAGGCGAGGCGGTCCCACGTGACCTCATTGTTTACCTTATAGCACAGTTTTCCTGTACATTCATTACGAACTCATGTGTTGACAAACGTTAGTTTTTGTTGTTAATATGGAATTTAATACCGATACGGTTCTCTTACCATCGATAAGGTCACGTGGAACCAAGTTTTTACTAGCGACAACTGGTGGGAATTCCTTCAGCGAGGAAACCCATTGAAGATGACACCTTTTACTCAATGTTTGCATTGAAATGAATGGATGTTAATTTGATAGAAATATGTAAAAAGATGTAATGTATTCTTTTGTACCATCAATAATCTACTATTTTCTAGGTCTAAATGGTAGAATGGTTTTAGTTCAAGATGATATAAATGATATAATGATGAAGAATCAGGCCAATAGAGATGTGCTTAGAATGGTTAATAGAGATTTAGATAATTTACCTAAAGGTATTCATTTCATAATTAAATTTTGTTGTATAATTCATAAAAAGACAGTAATTCCATGTTTTATAAAATAATGATAAACATATGAAAAAACAATATAGTTATTTCTTTCTACATTTTAACCTGTTTTTATACACCCACATTTTCATGTGGACGTATATTGTCGTCGTCCCTGTCTGTCCACTATTGTTTGTGGACATTCTACAGGTCACAATTTTTATACGCCAACATTTTCATGTAGAAGTATATTGCCGTCGCCCCTGTCCGTCCGTCCACAATTGTTTGTGGACACTCTACAGGTCACAATTCTTGTCCGATTTTGAGAAAACTTGAAATATAGGTTTATCTCCAAAGATCTTGGTTGTTTTCGATATTGGCATGTATCGGACCGAAACTTCATGGATTATGGCCCCTGATTGTACGAAAAATTACGTTTTTAGCTTGTGAACCATATAGAGATCTCAATTTTTATCCGATTTTGTTGGAACTAGAAATGTAAGTTTATAACATAAAGATCTCGGTTCCTTTTGATATTCGCGCATATCGGATCGTAACTTCCTGAATTATGGTCCCTGATTGTACGAAAAATTGCATTTTTAGCTTGTGAACCCTATAGAGGTCATAATTTTTATCCGATTTAAAAAAACGTTTTAGGATATCACCGTTACATCTTAAGGATGGTTGAGTTCAAATTTCGTGAAAATTGACCCAAAACTGACAGACAAAATGTCCGCCCCTCATACACAAATAGTGTAAAAATATGGTATATCAAGGTTGTGGATCCTCTAGAGGTCATAATTTTGATCCAATTTTGATGAAACTTGAAACACATGTTTATAGCACAAAGATATTGTTTCCTATCAATATTCGCACAATTTTGATCCAATTTTGATAAAACTGGAAATACATATTTATAACCCAAAGATCTTGGCTCCTATCAATATTCACACATATCGGATCATAACTTCCTGAATTGTGTCCCCTGATTGTACGAAAAATTACGTTTTTAGCTTGTGGTCTCTCTAGAGGTCACAATTATTATCTGATAATGTTGGTTGAGTTCGAATTTTGTGAAAATTGGACGAAACTGCCAGACAAAATGGCCGCCCCTCTACGCAAATAGTGTAAACGTAAACATCTGGTATATCAAGGTTGTGGACCCTTTAGAGGTCACAGTTTTGATCCGATTTTGATGAAACTTGAAATGCATATTTACAACCCAAAGATCTTGGTTGCTTTCGATATTGGCGTGTATCGGATCGTAACTAACTGAATTATGGCCCCTGATTGTACGAAAAATCGTTATTGTAGCTTGTGGTCACTATAGAGGTCACAATTATTATGATTTACAAAAACGTTCAAATATATTGACGTGAAAATCGGACCAAAACTTTCAGACAAAATGGCCGCCCCTCGTACGCAAATAGTGTAAACATGTGACATATCAAGGTTGTGGACCCTCTAGAGGTCACAGTTTTGATCCGATTTTGATGAAACTTGAAATACATGTTTATAACCACAGATCTGCGCATATTGGATCGTAATTTCCTGAATTTTCCCCCTTGATTGTACAAAATTTAGAGGTCACAACTTTTATCCGATTTAAATTAAAACGTGTGAATATATCACCGTTACACACTAAGATCTTGGTTCCTTTTGATAATCGCGCATATCCAAATGTAACTTCATGGATTATGGCCCCTGATTTTAGCTTGCGGATTCTCTAGAGGTCACAATTTTTTTTCCGATTTTAAAATCCGTTTAAATATATCACCAATTACACCATAACGAAGGTTGAATTTGAATTTCGGGAAAATTGAAATGAAAATTGTGTAAAAGTATGTACTACAAATGTTGTGGACCATCTAGAGGTCACAATTTTTATCCGATTATTGGTGAAAGTTGAAATATGTGTTCATAACCCAAAGATCTCGTTTCCTTTTGATGTTCACACATATTGGACTATATTTTCCTGGATTATGGCCCCTGATTTGTACGAAAAATCACATTATTTTTTAGCTCATTCTCAGTCCATCTCTTGCAAAATTTGGGCGTATCTTGCATAGCAACCGCTTGTTTTTATAATTGATAGATCTACATAATAAAATAGATGAAATATCTCGACGTGCTATGGATGTTAATAGACAGGTTAATAATACATCTGGGAGGATTCAAAGTACAATTAATAAAATCAGTAAGGAATTAGAACCAGAATTAAAGAAACTACGTGATGTTGATATGAAGGCTTTAATAAGTCATATACAGCTATCAAGTAAGTTCATTTATGATTAGTATTTGAAGAGCTGTTTTTAAAAAAGGTGGTGTAAACTTCATTTGACCTTCTATTTTATAATGTTAATAATATTATTCTTACTTTGTGTATAGGAGAGTTGATCATATCCTTTTCATATTGCTTTTATTTTCCTGGTCCAAAATCTTAAATAATGTTATTTCTTTTTGTCACAGCTCACAATGCTTCAGACAATGTGAATAACTTGAAGAACCTTACAGAAATTGTTATTGATAGTTCGAAACAAGCCAAGCGTCTCAATGCTGATGTATCTGGTAAAATATTGCGATTGAGAGAAAAAATTCGTTTAGCTAGAGAAATAGCAAATGATGTAAGATTTTATTATAGAAGTTTTTAAATAGATTAAATGGATTTGTTGATTTTCTAAGAACGCATAAAAAGAAGTTCCTGAAATGTAGAAATAGGTTGTGTTCAGTTATTAGTGCATGTATATATCATACAGACGGATTTGTGTGTTACTTGAAGAACTTTCTGATTTTTTTAAGGTTATTATGCAGCATTATGTTAATTTTACGGAAGTAATTTGTTTAATTTTAGATGAAGTTATCATTATCTGGCAATGGTGAATGTTTTAGATCATTCCGATCTGTGAGTCAGCCCAGTACAGCTAATTCTATAGATTTTGCATTTAAAGTTAACAAAACTGTGAAAGACGAAGACATGTTGTTAGTTTTATTGCAGAAATCCCACAAGGTGAACAACTTAAAAGACACTTAAATATTTTGTGCTTAAGCAAGTGAGGTTTTAGTTAATAGTAATACTAATACTAGTGCAAGACCTTGGCAATAGCTGTCACATTTTATAAATGAAATAATTGGCAGAGGCATGGCATTGACGACCCACTTTAGTTATATCTCTGTATCTTGAATATCCAACCAGCAATTCCGTTCAGTTACAGCCAAACAAATGACATTAAATATTCCATACCTTAAAAACACTCAATCTATATCTTACAGGAATATATGTCTTTAGAATTACGCAATAAATTTGTTCATTTCCGCTGGAATGTTGGTAGCGGTGAAGGATTAGTTATACATGATCAAGAAGTTACAATGGCGTCTGATGAAGCTGTAGAACAAGATAGATGGTATCGTGTTACTGCTAAAAGGTAAATAGAAAATATGTTACTATCTATACAGGTGTTGCTTTCAGAGCATTAATCAATATCATGATATGTTGCAGGCCTTCATGTGAATAAAGTCCTGCAGAGTCAAAATAAACTCTCCAGAAATTGGAAAAAGGGTAAATCGCTCTCCTGAATCCCTTGAGGAGAACTTTTTTAGCATTTGTGATAAGAACAGGGGTTTCAATCCATTTTGAAACCAACCGGCCAGAATTGGCTCAAATGATAGTAATTAGAAGCTCCTGTTAACTTTAACATAATCAGACTTAAACAAAAATAATTTTTGGTAATTTGTTATGGAGAATGTTGTATTCTAAATAGGCTAAGTTCAAGTCAGTAATATTCCTGAATAAATTACTGTATTCGTTTATTCCATGGATAAACGGATATAATCTGTCGATGAAATTAAGATTTTTCTACTACGGCCAGATCAGAAAATGCAGTAGCAAAATAAGCTGATACAACACAGTGTTTAAGGCCATGAGACGAAGAAGCCTATTGATTTTCAGCGATTTCCGATAATTACTGCCAGAGTTATGGCCCTTGATCACTTCAAAAAATCTTGTGGACACTCTAGAGGCCAAAGTTAATATCCGATTGACTTTAAATTTATATACAGTGTTTAAGGTCATGAGACGAAGAAGCCTATTGATTTTCAGCAATTTACGATAATTACTGCCAGAGTTATGGCCCTTGATCACTTTGAAAAATCTTGTGGACGCCCTAGCGTCTAAAGTTAATATCCGATTGACTTTAAATTTATACACAGTGTTTACGGTCATGAGACGAAGAAGTCTATTCATTTTCAGTGATTTTCGATAATTACTGCCAGAGTTATGGCCCTTCAAAAAACCTTCTGGATGCTCTAAAGGCTAAAGTTAATCTCATTGACTTTAAATTTATACACAGTGTTTGAGGTCACGAGGCGAAGAATCCTATTGATTTTCAAAGATTTCTGATAATTACTGCCAAAGTTATGGTCCTTGATCACTTTGAAAAAATATTGTGGACGCTCTAGAGGCCAAAGTTAATATCCAATTGACTTCAGATTGATACACAGAGTTTAAGATCTTGAGGCGAACAAGTATATTGATTTTCAATGAATTTTTATGACTTGGAACAGCTAAATCCATGATACAGTATTAAAAGTTTTGTATACAAAACGTTAGCATGGGGCAGAACTTTATAAAAACCAAACAAATTCTAATGGTTTTCTGAGTTGTTGCTCTTAATCAGATTTTAGTGTATTATAAATGTTTCATTACCGAAAAAAGTAAAAATATGCGACAACTCTTGTTGACTGCCCGAACGAATTAGCTGCTGTGGGCGTATGTTTCGTTGCCTGGCAACCTATCTTTTAATATAATTGTTTGAAATAGTCTACTTATACTTTATACTATAAATGTGTATTACATTTTGACTGTAAGTTTTAGTACAATATCATGATGCCTAACCTGTTATGCATTTTTGTGCTCTCCTGTCCCATCTGGCAATACCTGGATATACGGTACCATCATTTAACTTCAAAACGGCGATATTTAAATTCAATATCATGTATTGGTGATATGTTATCTGTCCTTGTATTGCTCAGTATTCTGTAGTAATTAGAATTATATTGTAGGATTGGTAGAATTGGTTTGTTGAAAGTCAAGTCCATGGCCAGATTGGCTCCAGAAACAAAAGAAAGAAATGCATCTTCATCGATTGGCTCCTCTTTACTTAAATTTGATTCTTCAACTGCAGTATATTTAGCAGGTTACCCAAATAAATATAATGTAGGTTATTATTTATTGTAATCTAGAGAAGCCTAGTCACAGCATTTCACTGAATTTTCTGTATCGCAGGTTCATCTATAGAATTGACCAATCACAGGGCTAGAAATTCGGCATTTTTTGCGAGAATCTAAGAGGATTCCAAAAAAATGGCATCTGTGCAAATCCTCCGAATCTTAATTAATAATACTGTCTAAAAAACAAGATTGTGTTTATTGTGTTAATCTAAAACATCAAAATACAAGAACAAAGATAAAAATAGAACAATCATATGGATTTTTTGGTAAACACTTAATTAGTGTCAAAAGTAATATCCAGAAAATGCCTTAGTCAAAATAAGTTGATATAGCACCATGGCATTTCTTCATAGCACAATTTTTATACGCCCCATATAGGTTTATCCCCAAAAGATCTCGGCTGCTTTCGATATTGGCATGTATCGGATCGAAACTTCATGGATTATGGCCCCTGATTGTACGAAAAATCACATTTTTAGCTTTTGGACCCTATAGAGGTCATAATTTTTATCCGATTTAAAAAAACGTATTATTATATCACCGTTACACCCTAAGGACGGCTGAGTTCGAATTTCGTGAAAATCGGCCCAAAACTGACAGACAAAATGGCCGTCCTTTGTTCTCAAATAGCGTAAAAATATAGTATATCAAGGCTGTGGACCCTATAGAGGTCACAATTTTAATCCGATTTTGTTGAAACTTGAAATGTAAGTTTATAACAAAGATCTCAGTTCCTTTCGATATTTGCGCATATCGAATTGGAATTTCCTGAATTATGGTCCTTGATTGTAGGAAAAATCACTTTCTTTTTAGCTTGTTCTCTATCCATCTCTCGAAAATGTGGGCGTATCCTGCCTGGCAGCCGCTGGTTTATTCATTCGTCGATGATAGACAAACGGCACAATGATCACTTGACAACCACAATTGAAATTGCTATAAAATAAAATTTGTACAACTATGATATAGCTTCAATAATATTTTTAAAATTAAGCCTCTGTCAGCATGTGTATCAACGCTATTTAGATCTGGTTTATTGACGTAATTCCAACCGATATGTCACTTGTCATAGGAATTCAGCATTTGAGATTATGTTGGGAAAATACCCACTGTTTCTCTTTCCGTGTATTCGGTGTTCTACCAGGGGATTATATTCAATGAAGATTTAAATTTACCTAACAACTGGTCAGTGAATCCATCAATGTATGATCCAGTTATTATTTTAATGATCTACCTGTACCTGGAATTCACACGGACGGAGCGTAGAAGACGTGCGATTTGCAAACCATGCCGAGATCGTCTTTATTAGCCACGTGGAGTATTTTACTGAACCTTTTATGAATTATCAGCAAGCGTGTTTTGTTTTTTTACCAGATTGTCAAAATCACCATTAAATGTGCTAATTGCTCGGATTAAGAACCATATGAGGTATGACTGTTGTTGTAGCCGACAATCAAGTTGATTGACTTTTTTTTATTAATAAGTAACAATTACCCCGTTGTAATTTAGCCAAAAGTAGATTGATTTATGATACCATAGGCATAGTGATGGATTCATTGTTTTACCAATCGGCTAGATTAAATGTCAGTCGACTAAAGCCGACAAAATACAGCCGATACTGACCGACATTCAATAGTCGGACTCAACAATTCTCCGAGATTTTTTTTTTTTTTTTTTTTTAGAAAAACTTTACGCGAATCCTTGTGCGAATTTCTAGCCCTGAATCACAATCTGTGTTTTACTGCCACATTTCCCCTTTATATCATACAGTCTGTCCTTGGGACAAATGTTTCAATCCCAAGCTTGTACGTGACAAGAAGTGTTGCTTGAGTTTTCAAGTTTGCAAAAGACCTTGTACAGAAGAGAATTATGGAATAAAGATTAACAAATGTTAGTTAAACTTAAAATAAGTAATATATTTGTGAGTATTATTTTAGGTTGCACCAGATATAAGTAGTAATAAGTTAGTTGGTTGTATTGGAGATGTTTATATCGACGATGAGAAAGTTGGTGTCTTTAATTTTAAAAATTCTGAGTCATCTTGTCAAGCCTGTGTTGAAGTGTAAGTCCAATTATTATTTATTGCTAAAGCCCCATCATGCCAAATAAAGACTGCACAATCAATCATGCTTTAGTATGGTAATGATAACGCTGCTATATTTATATGTGAAGTTTTTTTTTTTTAACCATTAAAATCTATACTGATATTTGTGACTGTCGTTTTCTGTCTTTCTGTTAGGGGTTGGCGGCTACACTAGGTCTGCCCTGAGTCTGAAATTTGGGGTATAAGGGTAGCTCGGACCGGGGAGTAACATAGGCCAGGTGGAGTTAGTCTACCACTTCCGGTTTCGGGGTTATGACCCCCGAGCGAAGCCGGGCATTCTTCTAGTATTACATATTTTTGACATATGAGATGTAAATGATGTGGCTTTTATAAATTTTCCAATTCCGAATCAATATGTATCCTACCCATGTAGCAACAATTTTTGCAATAACAATGATTTTTGCAACAAAATTAAATTACTACAAAAATGTTTGATATTGCAAATGTAGAACGTTGCTGGAACCATTTTTGCAATAAAAAGCAATTTTACAATAATTTCTTCTTTTGTCATTTTTATACACCCACATTGAAATGCGGTCGTATATTGTCGTCGCTCCAGTCCGTCCGGACGTCAGTCCGGGTCGGTCCGGCGTCCACAATTGCTTGTTGACGCTCTAGAGGCTAAAGTTAATATCAGTGTTTAAGATCATGAGACGAAGAAACCTATTGATTTTCAGCGATTTCCGATAATTACTGCCAGAGTTATGGCCCTTGATCACTTCAAAAAGTCTTGTGGACGCGCTAAAGGTCAAAGTTAATATCTGATTGACTTTGAATTTATACACAGTGTTTAAGGTCATGAGACGAAGAAGCCTATTGATTTTCAGCGATTTCAGATAATTACTTCCAGAGTTATGGCCCTTGATCACTTAAAAAAATCTTGTGGACGCTCTAGAGGTCAAAGTTAATATCCGATTGACTTTAAATTTATACACAGTGTTTAAGGTCATGAGACAAAGAAGCCTATTGATTTTCAGCGATTTCCGATAATTACTGCCAGAGTTATGGCCCTTGATCACTTTGAAAAATCTTGTGGACGCTCTAGAGGCCAAAGTTAATATCCGATTGACTTTAAATTTATACACAGTGTTTAAGGTCATCAAACAAATAAACCTATTGATTTTCAGCATTTTTGGATAATTACTGCCAGAGTTATGGCCCTTGATTACTTCAAAAAGTCTTGTGGAAAAGCTAGAGGTCAAAGTTAATATCCGATTGACTTTAAATTTATACACAGTGTTTAAGGTCATGAGACGAAGAAGCCTATTGATTTTCAGCGATTTCTGATAATTACTGCTAGAGTTATGGCCCTTGATCACTTTGAAAATTCTTGTGGACGCTCTAGAGGCTAAAGTTAATATCCGATTGACTTTAAATTTATACACAGTGTTAAAGGTCATGAGACAGGTCATGAGACAAAGAAGCCTATTGATTTTCAGCGATTTCCGATAATTACTGCCAGAGTTATGGCCCTTGATCACTTTGAAAAATCTTGTGGACGCTCTAGAGGCCAAAGTTAATATCCGATTGACTTTAAATTTATACACAGTGTTTAAGGTCATCAAACAAATAAACCTATTGATTTTCAGCATTTTTGGATAATTACTGCTAGAGTTATGGCCCTTGATTACTTCAAAAAGTCTTGTGGAAAAGCTAGAGGTCAAAGTTAATATCCGATTGACTTTAAATTTATACACAGTGTTTAAGGTCATGAGACGAAGAAGCCTATTGATTTTCAGCGATTTCTGATAATTACTGCTAGAGTTATGGCCCTTGATCACTTTGAAAATTCTTGTGGACGCTCTAGAGGCTAAAGTTAATATCCGATTGACTTTAAATTTATACACAGTGTTAAAGGTCATGAGACGAAGAAGTCTAATCATTTACTGCCAGAGTTATGGCCCTTGATCACTTAAAAAAATCTTGTAAATGCTCTAAGTTAATATCCGATTGACTTTAAATTGATACACAGACTTTGAGGTCATGAGACGAAGAATCATATTGATTTGCAACGATTTTTATACGCCCACATTTTGTCGTCGGCCCTGTCCGTCCGTCCATCCACAATTTGTTTGTGGACACTCTACAGGTCAAATTCTTATCTGATTTTGACGAAACTTGAAATATAGGTTTATCTCCAAAAGATCTCGGCTGTTTTCGATATTGGCATGTATCGGATCATTGTACGAAAAATCACGTTTTTAGCTTGTGGAACCTATAGAGGTCACAATTTTTATCCGATTTTGTTGAAACTTGAAATTTAAGTTTATAACCCAAAGATCTCGGTTCCTTTCGATATTCGTGCATATCGGAACGTAACTTCCTGAATTATGGCCCCTGATTGTATGAAAATTCACATTTTTAGCTTGTGGACCCTATAGAGGTCATAATTTTTATCCGATGTAAAAAAACGTAGTATTATATCACCGTTACACCCTAAGGACGGGTGAGTTTGAATTTCGTGAAAATCGGCCTAAAACTGACAGACAAAATGGCCGCCCTTCGTTCTCAAATAGTGTAAAAATATGGTATATCAAGGCTGTGGACCCTATAGAGGTCACAATTTTTATCCGATTTTGTAGAAACTTGAAATGTAAGTTTATAACCCAAAGATCTCAGCTCCTTTCGATATTCGCGCATATAGGACCGTAACTTCCTGAATTATGGCACCTGATTTGTACGAAAAATCGCGTTTTTAGCTTGTGGACCCTATAGAGGTCATAATTTTTATCCGATTTAAAAAAATGTATTATTATATCACCATTACACCCTAAGGACGGCTGAGTTCGAATTTCGTGAAAATGGGCCCAAAATTGACAGACAAAATGGCCACCGTTCGTTCTCAAATAGCATAAAAATATGGTATACCAAGGTTGTGGACCCTATAGAGGTCACAATTTTTATCCGATTTTGTTGAAACTTGAAATGTAAGTTTATAACCCAAAGATCTCGGTTCCTTTCTATATTCGTGCATATCGGATTGTATCTTCCTGAATTATGGTCCCTGATTGTACGAAAAATCGCGTTTTTAGCTTATGGACCCTATAGAGGTCATAATTTTTATCCGATTTAAAAAAAACGTATTATTATATTACCGTTACACAATAAGGACGGCTGAGTTCGAATTTCGTGAAAATCGGCCCAAAACTGACAGACAAAATGGCCGCCCTTCATTCTTAAATAGTGTAAAAATATGGTATATCAAGGTTGTGGACCCTATAGCGGTCACAATTTTTATCCGATCAAAACTTCATGGATTATGGCCCTTGATTGTAGGAAAAATCACTTTCTTTTTAGCTTGTTCTCTATCCATCTCTCGAAAATGTGGGCGTATCCTGCCTGGCAGCCGCTGGTTAGATTGCAGATTATCTAGAGGTCACAATTTTTTTCTTATTTTTAAAACCGTTTAAACATAATGAAGGTTGAATTCGTATTTCGTGAAAATCGAAATGAAACTGCCCGACAAAATTGCCACTCTTTGTACGCAAATTGTGTAGAAGTGTGTAATACGAAGGTTGTAGACCCTCTAGAGGTCACAATTTTTATCCGATTTTGATGAAACTTAAAAAATATCTTTATATCCCAAAGATCTCTGTCCCTTTTGATATTTTTCTCATTTCAGGCCATAACTTTCTGGATTATTGCCCCTGATTGTACAAAAAATCTTGTTTGTTTTTAGTTTGTTCTCTATTCATCTCTTGCAAAATGTGGGCGTAACTTGCCTGGCAGCCGCTGGTCAATAATTACTGCCAAAGTTATGGCCCTTGATCACTTTGAAAATTCTTGTGGACGCTCTAAAGGCTAAAGTTAATATCTGATTGACTTGAAATTTATACACAGTGATTAAGGTCATGAGACGAAGAAGCCTATTGATTTTCAGCGATTTCTGATAATTACTACCAGGGTTATGGCCCTTGATCACTTTGAAAAATCATGTGGACGCTGTAGAGGCTAAAGTTAATATCCGATTGACTTGAAATTTATACACAATGTTTGATGTCCTGAGATGAAGAAGCCTGTTGATTTTCAACGTTTTCCTATAATTACTACCAGGGTTATGGCCCTTGATCACTTTGAAAAATCTTCTGGATGTTCCAGAGACCAAAGTTATCATCTGATTGACTTTAGATTGATACACAGAGTTTCTTGAGATGAACAAGTATATTGATTTTCAATAAATTTTGATAACTTGAACAGCTAAATCCATGATATTAAATGTTTTGTATACTAAATGTTAGCATGGGGCAAAACTAAAAACCAACAAATTCTAATGATTGTCTGATAATTACTTAATGAGTTGTTACTCTTAATCAGATTTTAGTGTATCATAGATGTCTAATTACCGACAATAGAAAAAATATGCGGCAATTCTTGTTGACTGCTCGGACGACTTAGCTGCTGTTGGCGTATGTTTCATTATTACGTGTTTCCGACCCTCGGTTGAAACACATATTGTTTCATATAAGTGTTTTATTATTTTATGGGGGGTGGGGGGGATAAGACAAAAAAATAGCCATATCTCGGTTATTTCTCAAAGGATCTTTGTTGGGTTCTCGATTTGTTTTAGAATCAAAGATTTGCCAGAGTTTTCTTCAGCATTTTTTAATTTCGGTTGTACATGACAAGGAGTAGGGTCGCCTGTCCAACCACGTCAGGTTTCTCTAGGTCCTCTGGTTTCCTCCCACTGCTAAAGACCCCTACGCACAAGCAAATTATTGAATAAAATTGAACCGTGCGTTAGTCCCAAAATGACCTAGTTTGTGAAGTGGATGTTAAACCACATCTCTCTCTCTCTCTCTCTCTCTCTCTTAATTTGATGTTCAACATGGCCTATCTCTGTCACTATTTGAGGTACTAAGTTGAAACTTGATAGAAATAAGGAACACATATTAAAGCATTTTGTGACTTCAGGAAACTTCCAGAAATTACCGAGGCTCTTGGATTTTTCCCTAACATGAATAGTTCTCTCCATTTTAAAAATAGACTAAAAATGACATATGGTGGTGATAGCCCCAGATATTGTCTTTCATTTTTAGAGACCTTGTTCGATAACATTTTCAACCGTTTGGCTGCCATATTGGATGTTACAAAAAACCTTCAAATCAATATTCAGCCGCCATTTTTATTCCAATTTTCAAAAATATTTATTTTGTTTTGAACCTCCTTTAAATGGCAACAATTCTTAAGTAGCCAATTTTTGAATTTCGATTTTGGTGATCTAGCCGTTCAGTGACCATTGATCTTTGCATATATGATGTCCCTGACGTCTAATAACAACAAATATTAAAAAGATTGGTCTTGAAGTATATCTTCTGGTTTTATTAGAGTTCAAAATAACATCTTTTCCGCTTTAATAGGTATTGGATGTTACTATACTCAGTAGTTCATGGTGTAACATAATTGTTGACGTGACCTGACGTACCGAAACACGTCAGTAATCAGAGTTTTAGTTGAAATTTTATTGCAAATATGGTTTTTATTGCAAAAATTGCAATATCACCCTTTTTTTGCAATAAAATTTCAATAATGAAAAACTGTTGCCACTTTCATAAAAATGTGCATGGAAATGACGTTGCAGATGATAACATGCATGATGCATAAATCAATAATGATTCTGACAATCATCAGGGTGAAAAAAATAATGATCATGATGATAAAAATGGCAAAAGAAGAAATTATTGCAAAAATTGTTCCTTCAACATTCTACTTTTGCAATATCAACCAATTGTGCAATAAAATTTCAATAATGAAAAACTGTTGTCACTTTCATAAAAATAACTGCTTGAATATGAAAAACTATTAATTGATCAACTGTGACATTGTGATCGTTTTTAAGTACATGTGAGCTTACATGTATTTGAAATGAGTAAACATCGGTATATGACATTTTTGTCATATATTTTTTTGCATGTTTGTCACAATAATGAGGTAGTATTTAATTAGTATTAGGTGGTTTTGGATAGTACTGGATCAGTCATCCTGCCCATAATAATGAGGTAGTATTTAATTAGTATTTGGTGGTTTGGGGTAGTACTGGATCAGTCATCCTGCCCACAATAATGAGGTAGTATTTAATTAGTATTGGGTAAATCGTTCTGCCCATAGATTGTTATCACAATTGTTATTCTTTAACCAAAGAAGAAATTTCGATAATAACACCTATTTAAATAGCCAAAAGGGGCTATTTCATTAATAAATAATTATTATTGTTATTGTGTATTGCCATGTATAATGTTATTCATCATTGTATTGCCATGTATACTATAATGTTATTCATCATTACTATATTGGGCCATTTCATGATCATTTTGTTAAGCCCAACATTCATTCAGTAGGGTCGTTAAAAAAGTATTAACATTAGTGTTATTTTGCTCTTATTTTTTTGAAAAAATTTTCACAAGTTGATTTCCTTTATTTTGTTAATGTAGAATGGTAATGAACTGCGCTTTTCATTTTCTTTGTTTTATTTGTTTCGTTTGAATTTGATTTATCTGTTTAGTTTTTGATTGTTTAATTTTTGTTAATGAAGTTGATTCTTTTAAACTTCGTTTTTATTTTTGAACTCTACTTGGTGTAGGTGTTCATCAGGTAATACCTCGACTGAGTTCAATATAGAGATTAGCCGGTTGATTTGTTGATATAAACCTTTGAATAATAGCGCCTAACAGGCAGCTGTGTTTAATTATGTTCTCCTGATTTTGATTGTTTCTGTGTGTTTGAAGTATATGTTTGTGATATGCGCTTAGAAACACTTCACGTGTAATGAAGCGCTATATAAATCGAACAATAATAATAATAATAATAATAATAAAAATCGGTATGGAAGTGATGTCGCTGATGATAATACATGCTTGATAATGATTCTAACAAGGTGATGATGAAAATGACTAAAGAAGAAATTATTGCAAGAATGGTTTTTATTGCAAAAATGGCTTCTTCGACGTTCTAATTTGGCAATATCAACCATTTTTGCAATAGTTTAATTTTATTGCAAAAATGGTTGTTATTGCAAGAATGGTTGCTACAAACCCATCTTTATTCTCACTATTTGATTATTGATTACTGCTTTTATTTTACAGACCAAGTGAACCAATTAGTTCAAATATATATCATTTTGATGGAACAGGTTACTCATCATTACACAGAGGTCGATACCGTGATGATAAAATATATATTAGTTTTTCATTTAAAACCTACTGGGAAAATGCCATTTTACATTTCTCTGGAGATGAAATGGTGAGTCTGCTTATTATATGGCTTAGTTTTAACTCGTGCATGGGTGTATCATCTTTACATTTGGCCCAGTGTATTATCTTTACATTTGAGCCAGTGTATTATCTTTACCTCTAGCACAGTGTTTGATTGTACCTCTAGCACAGTGTATCATCTTTACCTCTAGCACAGTGTATCATCTTTTCCTCTAACACAGTGTTTTATTGTCCCTTTGCCTATCGAAGAAAGCAGGGGACTATTAAAATGGGTTAGTCCGTCTGTCTGTCCGTTTGTCTGTCAGTCCGTTTGTCCGTCCGTCCGTCCATCCGTCACACTTTTTGGGACACAATAACTCTCTTTCTAATTGAGCTAGAATGTTCAATCTTGGTGTAGGTATTTATTAGGTCAATGCCTTGATGGAATTCGAAGATGAGCATTTTCTGCTTAGGGTTAGCAGAGATAAGCAATGTGATTGGTTGATGCTTTGGGACACGATAACTTTAGTTCTAATTAAGGGAGAGTGATGAAACTTGGTGTATAGTTTCATTACATCAATACTTTGACTAAGTTCGATAATGAGCATTTTCTGCTCAGGGTAAGCAGAGTGATAAGCAATTTGATTGGCCGAGACTTGGAACACAATAACTCTCCTAATTGAGCTAGAATGTTCAAACTTGTTGTAGGCAGTGTCCGAAACAAACATTTTCCAAGCACAGGCCCGCAGGACCTGTGTGACACGTGATCATGTGGGTCCTTCAGGTGACACGCAGGCCCAACCAATAATAATAATATTTATAGTTACCAAGCGAAGTGCAGAACGATCAGAATAAAGGAAGTACATATAAAACCAGTACACCACAGAAGGACTAAGGGTTTAGTAACTTAATTTCATTTCAATTTAATGGAAACAAATCTATTCACGGCTACATAATTTACAGTTTTTCTGATCAAACTAGGTCAACTTCAAACAGTTACACAAAAAAACTTGACGCCTGGCGATAACGTTGAGGAATGGCATAAACTCGCTTATCCCGCCCTAGATTGTTAGCACAATAGCCCAGAATTGAGTCAAATGAGGTCTCGTAGGAAATGGCTTTAAAATTATAAGCGTCCATTACCTTTAATAATAGGTAGGCCTACAGCTACACCGTTCAGAAAATTTTCGTGTCAGTAGTATTCCTGAATAAATTACTGTCTTCGTTTTTTGGATGGATATAAAATGATACAGCACGGTGGTATTTTTCATAACACAATTTGTAGTTTTTGTCTATCATGTAACTTGCAAATATGTTTTTATTCATTCGTCCATGAGAGACACACGGCACAGTGATCACGTGACAGCCATAATTGAAATTACTTTAAAATAAAATTCCGTACGACTATGCCATATAGTTTTCAATAATAATAACGACAATATGTTTAAAATTTAGCCTCTGCCAGCATGTGTATCAAATAAAAAATCATAACGGTAAACGTTACTTAAAACTAAACCTAGCATCGCTGGCTTATTGACCTAGAAATTCCAACTGATGTCACGTGTCATCGGCAGATTTGGCATCGAAGATTTTGTCGGAAAAATATATTATTAATGACTGTTCTGAGGATTATATTCAACTAAGATTTAAATTTCTGTAACAACTGGTCAGCCAAACCATTAAATGCATGATCCAATTATTATTTTATTATCTACCGGCGGCGCGTCGAATTACCCAATAACACCAAATAACACCCAATAACTGCCCAATAACACCCAATAACTCCAAAATAACACCCAATAACACCCTATAACACCCAATTACTCCAAAATAACAACCAATAACTACAAAATGTTGACTTTGGAAACACAAAATAACAATTCAGTTGATTTTAAGAAGCATTGCTGCTTTGTGTCCAAATCGCGGAGTTTCACGCTCACTCGCCTGAAGGGAGATAACTCGTATATGTGATTTTTGTTGACAAGAAATTAATAACACCCAATAACTGCCCAATAACACCCAATAACTGCCTATAACACCAAATTGTTGACTTTGGAAATACAAAATAACAATTTAGTTGAATTTAAAAGCCTCGCAACGTTGAGCCCAAATCAGAGTTTTACGCTCACTCGCCTGAAGGGAGATAACTTGTGTATGTGATTTTTGTTTACAAGAAATTAATGTATGCTTTTGTTGCAATTCGTGTTAATTATACATGGGCGTCAAATATGGAATAACTATTTCAACCCCTCCATGGGTATTGTCAGGCGGTTGCGATAACAAAACGTTATTACAAATGTCCCCGCTATAGTTTTTCATGAAATTCAAATTAACTTCCAATAATTTAGCACAAAAATGCGCTACCCGACGACATAAAGATTAGTCTGTAAAGAAATTCTAATTAACTGCCAAACATTCTACGCACAAAGGCGCTACCTGACGAGATAACGAGATACTTGGCTGTTAATTTTAATTCCTTTACAAACCAATATTTTTTTAAAACATACACATATTCAAAAATGTTTCATATGAAAATATTATAAAGATAATAAAATAATTAGTCTGTAAAGAAATTCTAATTAACTGCCAAACATTCTACGCACAAAGGCACTACCTGACGAGGTAACGAGATACTTGGCGTTTAATTTTAATTCCTTTACAAAACAATGTTTTATAAAAAAAACATACACATATTTAAAAATGTTTCATATGAAAATATTATAAAGATAATAATGTGTGTGTGGGGGGGGGGGGGGGTGTCTTTACCAGTGTGATGACCCAGAGAGAACCAACGATTCTGGACAGACGACACTACTTCTTGTCAGGTATAACCGGGGAATCACATACACAAGTTATCTCCCTTCATGCGAGTGAGCGTGAAACTCCGATTTGAATATCAAAACCAGCATAGTTGGATCTGCAAGGCCTACATATGCAGTCTTCACTTGAACATTGAAAAAAATTCAACTGAGCAGTATCTATTTTCTCACAATCTGAATGGCACCAATGTTGACATACTTCACAATATAAGCTTTGAATATCGCAAGTTTCTTTCAAACATGATCCGCGAGGCTTTTAAATTTAACTGAATTGTTATTTTGTATTTCCAAAGTCAACAATTTGGTGTTATTGGGCAGTTATTGGGTGTTATTGGGCAGTTATTGGGTGTTATTAATTTCTTGTCAACAAAAATCACATATACGAGTTATCTCCCTTCAGGCGAGTGAGCGTGAAACTCCGATTTGGACACAAAGCAGCGATGCTTCTTAAATTCAACTAAATTGTTATTTTGTGTTTCCAAAGTCAACATTTTGTAGTTATTGGTTGTTATTTTGGAGTTATTGGGTGTTACTGGGGCGTTATTGGGCAGTTATTGCCCTTTACCGGTTCCTGGAATCTATACGGAGCGTCGAAGAAGCGCGATTCCCGAGCGAGATTCGCAATCCATACCGAGAGGTATGACTGTTATTGTAGCCAACAAGCAAGTTGATTGACTACTTAATCAAAAAGAAATAATTAACTCGTTAAATTTAGCGGAAAGTAGATTGATTTATGATACCATAGTGGCCGATTCATTGTTTTTACCAATCGGTTTGTTTAAAGTTCAAGCGGCTAAAGCCGACAAAAAAACCAGTTACAAATCAAAGGCTGGTTACGCCAGTCAATGTTTGGAAAAACAGCAGCTACTGTCATGTCGATGACAAGTAAACAATAACCGTCAACTATCGGAGACTCAGAGGTTGCGTTTCGATGACAGTTCTAGCATTTCCCGAATTGTGGTATGTGGACACTAATTATGCGAGATAAGAAAGAAGGCGAAGGCCCGGCGGACCCGAGTGAAATAGGCAAGCAGGAGTCCTCCGATAAATCAGTCGGCCTCGGGCCTACGGATCGACGTTTGTGTCGAACACTGGTTGGAGGCCTTGATAGAGTGTGAAGATGAGCATTTTCTGCTTATGGTAAGTAGAGATAAGTCATTTGATTGGTTGATGCTTTGGGACACGATAACTTTAGTTCTAATTAAGTGAGAGTGATGAAACTTGGTGTATAGTTTCATTACATCAATACCTTGACTAAGTTTGATGATGAGAATTGTCTGCTTAGGCTAAGGAGCAATAAGCATTTTGATTCGTTAAGACTTTGGAACATAACAACTCTGCTTCTAATTGAAGTAGAATGTTTAAACTTGATGTAGATGTTCGTCTTGACTGAGTTCAATGATTAACATTGGTCGATGCTTTGGGACAAGATAACTTTGATTCTATCTGATAGAGAGTGATGAAACTTAGTGTATAGTTGATAATCAGTTTGATTGCTTGATACTTTTGAAAAAAATAGATGTGCAATTAATTAATATGTGTCATCTATTTATTTGGGGATTGATTTTGGCGGGGGACATCAGCCTCACTGTTGGCTTGTTTGAAAGACTGTCAATCCCAAACAAAAGTGAATTAACATTCTTGTAATTGTCGTCCAATGTATCGATAGTGAGTTTGCGTTGGTCTATAAAAAGGCGGCAATGAAAGAAATAATGTTCGCTAGATTCACATCTGTTTCCGCATAAACAGGATGGATCGTCAGATATATGCATGAGGGATTTATGAAGATTTAGGTCAGATTTAGAGTTGCGTAATTTAGAATAAATAATCTGAAACGACCGGTCACCAAAATTGAAAAAATCGTTGTATTTAGGTTTACCGTATGCTTTTCTAATTTGAAATTTGAATGATGAGATTGAAATTGTAGTTTTCACGTTTTCTACAGGTCACAATTTTTATCCGATTTTGACGAAACTTGAAATATAGGTCTATCTCCAAAAGATCTTGGTTCCTTTTGATATTGGCATGTATCGGACCTTAACTTCATGGATTATGACCCCTGATTGTACGAAAAATCACGTTTTTAGCTTGTGGACACTAGTCTAGAGGTCACAATTTTCATTTGATTTTGATGAAACTTGAAATACATGTTTGTAACCCAAAGATCTTGGTCCCTCTCGATATTCGCGAATAACTTCCTTCCTGAATTATGGCCTCTGATTGTACGAAAAATAGCGTGTTTAGCTTGTGGTCCCTCTAGAGGTCACAATTATTATCTGATTTAAAAAAAAAAGAAACGTTCGAATATATCACTGTTACACAATAATGTTGATTGAGTTCGTATTTCATGAAAATCAGACCAAAACTGCCGGACAAAATGGCCACCCCTCGTACACAAATAGTGTAAACATATCGTATGACAAGGTTTTTAGCTAGTTGTTCCTCTAGAGGTCACAATTTTTATCTGATTTAAAAAAAATGTGTGAATATATCACCGTTACACCCTGATAATGGTTGAATTCAAATTGTGTGAAAATTGGACCTAAACTGCCGGACAAAATGGCTGCTCTTTGTACGCAAATAGTGTAAAAGTATGCAATACCAAGGTTGTGGACCCTATAGAAGTCACAATTTTTTTCTGATTTTGATGAAACTTGAAATGTATGATTATAATCTAAAGACCTAGGTTCCTGTAGATATTTGCACATATTGGGCCATAACTTCCTGGATTATGTCCCATGATTGTATGAAAAATCATGTTTTTAGCTTGTGCACGAAGTCACAATTTTTATCAGAGTTTGATAAAACTTAAAATATATCTTTATATCCCAAATATCTCAGTTCATTTCGATATACGCGCATTTCAGATCATAACTTCCTGGATTATGGCCCCTGATAGTATGGAAAATCGCCTTTTTTTTTATTTTTTAGCTTCATCCCTTGCAAAATGTGGGCATATCCTGTCTGGCAGCCACTGGTCTAGCCTGCACGCTGAACCATGTACTAATGAATTTTCTTTGAAATTAATTGCCTGAATTGTAATTTGCCCAATATTACTCCTAATAAATTTATTATTTTACACATACAGTTTTATTGGTTTATGCTATAAACGGCAGGTCTGTGCTAAAAAGAATTGATTACAGTAATGTCAATGCCATCTTTGTTTCTGACACTGTGGTATAATCTATGTATATACTGGTGCTTCATGTTTATCCTCTAGTATGATCTCCCAATCTAACAATTTCTATACTGTCTAGAGATTTGTGACCATTTGATGAATGTTTTAATGATTATGTATTTTATATTACCAGGGTGATTTTATGTCTATAGAATTAGTTGGTGGTAAAGTTGTCTTACAGTACTATATGGGAGGAATCAGTATAGGAAGAAATAAAACAAACAAAACTTATAATACCAATAAATGGGTTAAAGTCAATGTAGATAGAAATAAATTAAATGGTAAGTCACATTTACAAACTTTCTAGCGATATCATTCGCAGAATTTTTTTTATTGATGGAAATTATTGACCTTTTCTGTGTGTTGTTGTGTGTATTACTTATTAAAGATACATTATTGGAGATTAGATAAAGAGCTGGCAGTCTTCACTATAATAGTTAAAAACTAGATAATGTAAAGGGAATTTGCTGAAAATTCCATAAAAATTGATCCACTCTGAAGCGAGAATTTAGCAATTGAATTTTCAGCCTAGCCTCGATCATCATTACTAAAATCGGTACGATAAAAAACATACTCTCAATTATCCACTTCGGGATTTGATCATGAATGAAATTTGAGCAACATGTGGATATATTTAATTCCTGTACGGTATTCACATTTAAGGCAGTAATATTATTAAAAAATTATGTGTTTTCGGAATTCGATAGAATGAAAGCGTAGCCTAGCTGCTTGAAATGCATGTGAGTAATATTAAAGGTTTATAGACTAAACTTTGACTATTTTTGCCATCTCATCGACAAATTGTTTTCATGATTATGATATAAAGGAAACCACATAATTAAGAAAGTCAATCAAGGCAGTTTAAGTAGTTAATTAATTAAGGTAGATGTTTAACGCCATGAAAGGATTGATCACTTAATTACATAATCAATCCCAACTATTATCAATGACAATCAAGATTAATAATAGTTACCAGTACAATAAAATATTTTTTGGAATTTTAAATAATGTTTCACCATATCTTGATGTCTTAACCCGGTTGGACATTTGCCAGCTTGCGTAGGACATGTCCAGCATATACAGCAAAACATCATCCATGCGTCAGATATTTTTGGCACTCGATCCTTCTACCCTTTTGAAATAAAGTGATGATTATTATTATTGTTATCTTTTGTTTTTTTTCTACTTTTTGTCATCACAGATTTTTCAGAAACAAGCAGGATAATATATGGATACATTAACATGTTTTAATAGTTTATTTGTTATTTATGCCCTTCAGACAAAATTTTTATGAACTTACAACTGAATGTTTGATTTAATTTTAGCTTTGTTGACAGTAGATAATGAACGAATATTTATTTCTTCTACACCTGGTAAAACTGGATTGGACTTAAAAGATAGTCCAATGTTTTTTGGAGGCATTCCTAAAAGTTTAGATATATCTAAATTTCAGAAAATGTAAGTTTAGTGATATCAAATAAATTATTCCTGTCTTGATACTAATAACTGTTGAATAAGAACATTCTTTTTTAAGATCAACAGTGTTCGGGTGATGTTGACATTAGCAAAGGGAAGTAACTACAGTTTTATGTATCAAGATTCAGACAGGTCTCTTCCAACTGACTGCATTTTAAATGCATGCACTTTCAGAACTTGTAATAGATAATGATGAAAGCTATTTGAATAAATTTGCGAAAAATTCTAGATTATCCTGTTCAAATGTTAAATTAAAGAATGACTGAATGATGCCATCAATACTACCAGATCTTTTAATTATGGCTGAAAAATGGTCATTTTGTCAAAATTGTTTATTTTCTATGGGGTCATTCCATGTAAAGTGGGTCAATTTTCAGAAAGTTGGTATTTTAAAATTACATTGATAGTTAAATCACTTGTAAAAAGGCATAGCTAACTTCAGCGTATGACGTACGTGACTCATAGCACATAGCTTCAAAAACAATGTCTTATATGGTAAGCAATTTTTGTGTGGCAATCGAGTTCTCGTGAAAGTGCCACTGTGGATTAGAATTTCTATATGGACTCTTATAGGACTAACAGATATTGCGGATAAATTGACTGCCCATTGATTTGGGGTGTTATATAATCTTACGATATGTGACATCTATAACTAGTTTATACATGCTGTCGGTTGGGTACATGCTGTGATTAAAATGTCCGACAGTGGAGAAACCACGACGTAAACACTTAGATTAAAATTATAATCACTCTTATTGGATTGATGAATAGTTTGACAAAGGGTAAACAATGACTTCTGTTTAAGTTTAGATTGATGAATTGTCCGATAAAGGATTAAGTCGGTCAATCATGGCAGATTAAGTAGTTAATCAAGGTGTATAGACGGTATAACACAAATGACCTTGCCAAATTATATCATGATACACTAACTGGCCTACTAGACAAGCATGCACCATCTACAACAAAAATTGTCACTGTTAGGCCAAAAACTGCATGGTTTAATGAAGACCTTCATATGTCAAAAACTAGTACGTCATAAAGCTGAGCGAACATGGCAGAAATCAGGCCTTGAGATTCACAGACAGATCTATTGCGAAAAACGCACCGAAACAGTCATTGCCATATCTGATGCTAAACGCGCATATTATTTGGAACAACTTGAGCTATCCAATTATGATTCACGAAAGACGTACACTTTCATCAACTCACGTCTTGGAAAAACAAAAGTTCCCATTGTACCAAAAGGACAAGATGATGAGAAGATACAAAAAATACATTCTGGCTTGCTAGCAACACAGTCAGGTTATAATAATGAGGATTGTGAGTCTTATAATCAACCGTCCTTTGATGGGCAACTGCTTTTTCAACTTGAACCTCTCACGAATGATGAAATCAGGAAAATAGTTCTGTCATCCAAACCTACGACGTGTCTCTTGGACCTGTGCCAACGAGTGTTGTTATTCAACATATTGATATTCTACTTCCTGTGATCTCCCCAATAGTCAATCTTAGCCTCGAAACCTCTACATTTCCTGACACTTACAAGACAGCTGTAGTACGTACGCCCCTTATTGAAGAAAGATAACCTCGATCCTAACACTTTGAAGAATTATCGATCAGTCTCGAACCTTCCTTTCATCTGCAAAATAATTGAGAAAGCCGTAAATAAGCGACTAATTAATCACTTAACCACAAGTGGACTGTTAGACAAATTTCAATCAGCCTATAGGCAAAATCATTCTACAGAGACCACCTTAATAAGAGTAGCAAATGATCTTCGGGTAGCGGTGGATAATGGAAGATGTGCCGCCTTGGTTTTGCTCGACCTATCAGCAACATTGATACTATAAATCACAATATATTGGTGGACCGTCTCTCCAGTCAGTTTGGTATCACAGACGCTGCATTGAGTTGGCTAAAATCCTGTTTACAAAATCGATCGCAGAAAGTGTTAATAGGCAAAATAGTGTCACCACCAGTACTGTTAAAACATGGTGTGCCACAAGACTCTGTTTTGGGCCCTGTGTTGTTTGTGGTCTATACTGTATCTGTATCTAACGTCATTGACCGTCATTCACTAGATCATCGCGCATATGCAGATTACACTCAGATAAATGGAAGTTTCAAGCCATCAGCATCTTTGCAGTAATTCTAAAAAATAACTGCATGTACCAAATCGATAAAGTCATGGATGACCACTAATATGCTGAAACTTAATGATGACAAAACTGAGGCGGTTTTAATAGGCACCTAACATCATCGGTCAGACATACATGAACAATCCATAACGATTGGAGACTCAGATACAGCTTTCTTCTATTCCGCCAAAAACCTTGGAGTGTTCCTGGATAGTGATCTGTCGATGGGAAAACAAGTTAACCATCTATGCAAAATTTGCTATTTCCAACTTCGTGCTATACGTCAAGTTTGACACCTGTTAAGTCATGAAGTCGCTCATACGTTAGTTCGTGCCTTTGTCCTTTCCAGACTGGATTATTACAATGGTTTGCTGTGGGGTATTCCACAAAATCTATTGAACAAGCTACAATGTATCCAAAACACAGCAGCCAGAATTATATCATTGTCTCCAAAATTCAACCATATCACACCTGTTCTGAAAGAATTGCACTGACTCCCTGTCAAATTGCGCATTGAATATAAGTTACTATGTACGGTGTTTAAAATGTGTCAATATGAAGACCTTCGGGTACAGGACATTTTCCCATGCTGCAATTGATATTGATTTAAGGCGATGTGATAATCTCAGAACTTTTAAGTCAAAACTGAAAACATTTCTTTTCAACTCGTACTATAACTGAACATTGTAACATTGATACGCTTCATACCATCTCCAAGCGCCTTGAGCATTTTTATACGCCCACATTGTATACAGTGATTATATACAGTGTTTAAGGCCATGAGACAAAGAAGCCTATTGATTTTCAGCCTTTCCGATAATTACTCTCAGAGTTATGGCCCTTGATCACTTTGAAAAATCTTGTGGAAGCTCTAGAGGCTAAAGTTAATATCTGATTGACTTTAAATTTATACACAGTGTTTAAGGCCATGAGATGAATTTTTATGACTTGAACAGCTAAATCCATGATATTAATAGTTTCGTATACTACATGTTAGCATGGGGCAGAACTTTATAAAAACCAAATAAATTCTAATGGTTTTCTGATAATTACTTCATGAGTTGTTACTCTTAATCCGATTTTAGTGTATTATAAATGTTTCATTACCCAAAAAAGTAAAAAAATGCGACAACACTTGTTGACTGCCCAGAAGATTTAGCTGCTGTGGGCGTATGTTTAGTTGCCTGGCAACCTATCTTTATGGATAAGCTATTGTTCAAGAGACCATAACCCAGTAACCGATAGGTCAAAATTGCTGGAATGGGAAAGAGGATGTCTTGCTGTTTAAATCATAGTTATCTATCTTTAGGAAAGTTTGCGGCAGGTTACTATGTATCATCAGAGCTTATCCATGAACATAATCCTGCTTTAAGTGCAAAGACACTGATTTTCAGCCTAATGTGTGAATATATAAGTTAATTTTGCATGTTTATAAAAGATATTGTACCTCCAATTCGTTAAAACACGCCTGGATGTCAAATATAAATGTAGAAATACTTATTAACAAAAAAGTGGGTGTGACACTGCCCCAGGGGGTTGGGGCATGCACCAAAATAAATAGTTGCTGTCTTTACGGTATAAGGAATGAATATGCAAAGTGCACCAACATCAATAGTTTCCGTCCTTAGGGTATAAGGAATAAGTATACCAAGTTCCAAGATAATCCATTCAGAATTGTGGCCTTTGGGCGACAAAGGCAAAAATTGGGCATGGCTCTACCCCAGGGAGTCGGGGCTTTCACCAATATCAATAGTTGATGCCCTTAGGCTATAAGGAATACAAATGCCAAGTACCAAGTTGATCCATTCAGAATTGCAGACTGTAAACGATAAACACAAAAATTGGGCGTGGCTCTGCCCCTGGGGGTCGGGACATGCAGTTATCGTCCTTAGGCTATAAAGAATACATATCTGAAGTTGATAGACGATCCACTAAGAATCATGGCCTGTAGGCCTTAGGGTATAAGTATTAAAAAGTTTTCAAGACGATCGATTAAGCGTTGCGGGCTGCAAGTGACACACAGACACACAAAAAGAAAATGGGCGTAGGTCTGCCACTGGGGGTTGGGTATTCACCACAACTATAGGGATGTTCCTTAGGATAGAAAGAATAAGTATGTAAAGTTTCAAGGTGATACATTAAGAAATGCGGTCTGTAGATGACAAACAAATAAATACAAGAAATGGGCATGGCTCTGCCCCTGGGGGTCAGGCATGCACCAAAAACAATAGGGATCATCCTTAGGGTATAAAGAATTCATATGAAAATTTTTCAAGAAGATCGATTAAGAATTGTGGCCTGTAGGCGACACACAGACACACAAAAAGAAAATACCCAACCCCCCGCGTCATCCTTAGGGTATAAGGAACTCATATGAAAATTTTTCAAGACGATCGATTAAGGATTGTGGCCTGTAGGCGACACACAGACACACAAAAAGAAAATACCCAACACCCGGGGCAGAGCCACGCACCCCAAACGATAGGGATGTCCCTTAGGGTACAAAGAATAAATATGCAAAGTTTCAAGATGATACGTTAAGAAATGCGGTCTGTAGACGACAAACAAACAAATACAAGAAATGGGCGTGGCTCTGCCCCTGGGGGTCGGGCATGCACCAACAACAATAGGGATCATCCTTAGGATATAAGTAATAAGTATGTAAAGTTTCAAGATGATCACTTAAGAATTGTGGCCTGTAGGCGACACCCACCCTCACCCACACCCACCCTCACCCACACCCACACACACCCACACACACACCTACACCATCACACACACACAGGGGCGACGGCAATAAGATATCTGAAACTCAAATAAATTATTGATACATATTTTGTTTCGAAAACTTATCGGTAACTCATGAAACTCAAATGCTACAGACCACAAATTTTGCACAGTTTCTAGTTTTTGCATGTACAATAACATATATTTTTCCAGATGTTTTCGAGGGGGTTGATTTCCCACCCCTGGCCCACTTGACATGGAATGACCTTATGTTGAAAATAAACGTTAGTCGTGTTTCTTGTCTTTCCAATTGACAATAGCTAGTTTTGGTTCTGCCAGTGATGTCACAAACACAATGTTTAATATTGAGTGTGACATTTGAAGAGAGGCATCTAGAAAGTTTTTAAAGGTAAATTTGGTAGCTGTTATCAGAAATACAGAAATGCCTGGACTATCTTCCGAAATATATTATCTGTTTTTTTGTATTTATAGATCACCCATAGAGAATACTAATTTATTAGGTTGTATGAAAGATGTGTCTGTTGGTGCAATTAGTGCAGATGTACAGAATTTATTTACTGGTGATTATGTTGGTATGACAGCTGGCTGTAAAGATGCAGTAAGTATATTTATACTATTCAAAAAAAGTAGGGGATATTTGATTTTTAAGTGTTATTAAAGTCACCTAATGAAACTGACGAAGAAACAAATGACAAAATGAAATGAAGTTCACATTCATCGATTTATTCCAAATGATCGTTAGACTAAGTAAGGCACAGACTGACCATTATAAGGGTAAAATGATACCCGGGGTCAAACAGCAAAGTTACCACAGCATCACAACCAAGTCAGTAACGGGTAAATCCTCCTCTGTTTGCCAAACAAGCATTGATCCGACGTGGCATACTCCTAATGAGACGTCTAAGGTCATTTTGGTCCAGATTGTCCCATTCCTGTTGCAATGCAGCAGCAAGTTCTTGGACATTGGCAGGACGTTGTTGACGTTGACGTAACCTCTGTCCAAGCATGTCCCAGACATGCTCGATGGGGGAGAGGTCGGGACTCAGTGCTGGCCAAGGTATTGTGGTGATGTTCTGTTGTTGGAGGTAACCTGTAACGATCATGGCCCTGTGACATCTTGCGTTGTCATCCTGGAAGATGAAACGGCGGCCATGACGTCGTGCGAACGGCACAACATGGACTGCCAAGATGTTGTCCCGGTAGTACTGGCCTGTAACACGCCCTGCAACAACATGTAAAGCCGTTCTTCCAGCAACAGTGATGCCTCCCCACACCATAACAGAACCACCCCCAAATCGATCATGTCTGATGACGTTAACGTCTTGGAAGCGCTCGTTTCGACGACGCCACACCCTCCTACGTCTGTCCAAAAAATCAACAGTGAACCTTGACTCATCTGAAAACATCACATTGCTCCAGCGTCGATTATCCCAGTGTTGACGATCCCTACACCAACGACGTCTTGCTTGAATGTGATGATCTCTCAAACAAGGGATCACGCGAGGACGTCGGGCGCGAAGGTGACCCCTATGCAGTCGATTCCGAATCGTCTGGCCACTCACTCTCACACCAGTGTCTGTTTGAAGACGAGCGCTGATCTGATTTGCTGTGATGACACGATTTCTCAAGGCCAAGGTACGGATAAATCGATCCTGGGCGTGGTCTGTCCTGTACAGATTGTGTATCACGGTATCTGGACCATAGCCTGCTTATGACAGGCTGAGAAACATTCATCGTCCGCGCCACAACCGCCTGTGTTGTGCCGATCTGTAGCATGCCAAGGGCACGTAACCTTTCATTTTGGGTAAGCCGACGCATATCAAAATTTGTTTTCTGGTCACTAAAACAATTAAACTGATGTTTCCACCCTGGAATTCAATGCCACAATGACTGTAACATTCAAAGTCAGAGTCGTGCAAATCTTGGGTTGGACCCCCATGATGATCCCAAGCATCACCTGCATTCCATGCGGTAGCTATTGGTGCGTTTGGGCGTCACATGTAACTGGAAATGTTTCTTCTGTTAGGTTCTATAGTGACTTTTTTCGTAGTCATTTGCATATTTTAGTATTATGCCCCCAAAATCAAATATCCCCTACTTTTTTTGAATAGTATATATACTCTTCAAAATAAGTAGCGGATATTCAGAAACAATACAAAACTGCGGAAATGCACTGCTGTTTTTATTAGAGGTAGCCAGTGTATGTTAATAACAGGCCATTTGCCTACACATGAACATAAACAGTTCATATGGGCGGCTTATCTGACGGCCCCGTTTCACTCGCAAAGAGATACACCTTCAAAAGTGAAAATGGACGTTTTTGATTTTTGTCTTAATAATGAGTAATTGCTCCACCAATCCTCAGACATTCAGCAATTCGTCGTGGCATGCTCCTAATCAACCGTCAAATCACGATTTGGGGCAATCTGACCCACTCCTCTTGCAGTGCCATGGCCGATTCTTGCAGTGTTGTCGGTTGACGCTGACATTGGCGAACATGTCTCCCGATCAAATTAAACATAACACACTAAAGCAAAGATACGCTAAACAGTAAATCTTATGCAAGAACTGATAGGAAAGCAAACATGGATAGATAAACCAGCACCCGGTAGTTTTCATCAACCCTTCCTTGAAGTGTCAAATTTGACAATGAACTCCTCCCACGTGTATAGTGCAATTGCGTGTCGTATGTGCAGCTCAGTGGTTCTGTTGGGGCGATAAGTTCTTCATCTGTGAACATACTCTCAAAGCATGTCAAATGTTCATGACTATTTATCATATCGCAACCTGCATAGGTATTTGCATTTCAATATCCCCTACTTTTTTGGAAGAGTATATTTCATTTCTAAATTCCTGATTCATTGTCTGTAGAATAACTATCAGTTATTTCATAGTAAATAAGTACCATTTATTTCATGGTCCCATCTTCATAAGCCCAGTCAGTGCAGAAAAGTAGGACGTCAAAACGTTTAGTTTTTGCATGAAATGAAATGAAATGGGATTTAACGTCCTACTATTCTGCTCCGAACTGGGCTAATGAAGACAGCCATACGCCATACAGTGTGCTATGAGGAATCTTTGCCCAGACGGCGGCACTACGGCCTACTCTTTTACCAAATTCAAACTGTCATGGGATCTTTTACGTGCACTCATCCCATCCGAACGACTAGACAGCTGTCCTTGTCCTGCCTTCCGTCCTGCATTACTGACAAGGGTCAACCACATCAGAAAATCTGCATGAAATTTCTTGGCCATAGCAGGGATAGAACACCCGACCTCCAAGCTAGTAGCCAGCGTCTTACCCAGTTAGCCAATATGACCCCCCCTTCTGTTTTTGCACCTTTTATACATGTAAAGCAGACATTTCAGAAGGCATTGCTCTGTTACTGGAACATGCTATATTTTGTAGGGAGTAAGAACTATAGGTTTCTATGGAGATGGTTATTCTATGTATGAAGGACAAAGTTTAATTAGTGGTGATACTGATATATCTGTTTCATTTGTTACAAAGAAACCTGATGCATTATTACTTTTATCAACCGATATACCTCAATTAGTAAGTATTTACTATCTGATTATACCAAATTTAATATTAATATTTAGTCTTTCTGCAAATATCTGTCATTTATTAATACAGATACTGAACACAATAAATCTGAGTGAGTAAAAACGTCAAAGAATAGTAATTCGAATTATCAAAATAATAGTACCTACCAGCGCCGGATTAACCATTGTGGGGGCCCTGTGAGACTTGGTATTCGCGATGATCGAGGAATCTGATAGGCTCACAAGCTGGGCTTGTACCCAATCAAAATTAGTGCCGCAATATGCAGGGTATTACTTGAAGGCCTTTATAAGATGTACATAGTTAAAGCGAGATCAAGCCTTCTATTGAAGATGATAGCATGTTGAAGACGTCTCATTGCAAATTAAACGTAACACACTAAAGCAAAGTTACGCTAAACAGTAAATCTTATGCAAGAACTGATAGGAAAGCAAACATGGATAGGATAAACCAGCATGTGGCAGTTTTCATCAAGCCTTCCTTGAAGTGTCAAATTTGACAATGAACCCCCTCCCATGTATACGGCGCTATTGCGTGATGCATGTGCAGCTCAGTGGTCCTGTTGGGGCGATAAGTTCTTCATCTGTGAACATACTCTCAAAGCATGTCAAGTGTCCATGACTATTTATCATATCACAACCTGCATAGGTATTTGCATTTCAATATCCCCTACTTTTTTTTGAAGAGTATATAATATGCAGACCAATGGTAATTAATGCTTTCCTTGGATAGCTATATCTTGGTGTGACTATGCATAATGTCATAAGCAATGTGGAAAATGCCACTCATATCATGTGAAGTAATAATGACAGTTCAGGCCTTCGAACTGTGAATACGAATATCATTATTAATAATTTTGGATGTCTCATCCTTTATTTAAATGACATATCAGAAACAAGGGTAAAATGTGGTTACAATTCCAGTTTCGTACCAATACAAAGTGTTTACACCTTACGGTCATAATATGAAGAAACCTATTGATTTTCAATGATTTCCAATAATTACTGCCAAAGTCATCTCCCTTGATCACATTGAAAAACCTTGTGGAAGCTCTAGCTAGAGGCTAAAGTTAAGATCTGATTATTACTCTCTAATATTAGATATTATTTATTTATTTAATTTAGAATTATTATTCCCTGTCTGTAAAGAATGGTATTATTATTGCCCAGTTTACTGTAGATTCTGTTGGTGTATCTTTAGTCAGTAATTATAGTTTTAATGATGGTTTTCTACATAATATTGGTATTATCAAGTCCGGTAGAAGGTAAGATTATGTCCTGTATTGTTGTTCATCTTTGTAAAAACTTATTCTGAAAGAGAAATGATTTACTAAACCAAGAGCATCTTGAACTATAAAATCAAATTAAATTTCACCAGTCTTCAATAATCACTGTATTATTCATATTTCTATCTTTACTAAAATAAAGACTGTGCGGTTTCTTGTAACTTTCACAAAGAAGACCGGCATCAATATTGTTATCAACCACATTGAATAGTTGAATCATTGTGTCCTCGAATAAGAGACTTCATCCCCGTATTCCAGTCTACACAGCTTTAGTTACTTGTAGGATGCTGCAAGGCAAATTTAATGTAGCACAAAAGTAAGGTGTAATGTAGAGAAATGTTAGTCACTGAGCGACATTGAAATTACTTTTATAATTTTGGTTTTGAGGGTATTACCAACTGTAACAACTCCACAGTCCACACTGTATTTTGTTATTTTACAGAACAAGTCCATATCAACACATTATTTGTCTCCCTCAGCTATTTTCGAAGAGAGCGGGGGAACTATTAAAATTAATTCGTCTAACTGTTGTTCACACATTTTGGAACATGATAACTCGCCTAATTGAGGTTTAATGTTCCAACTTGATGTAGATGTTCATTCGGTGAAAGACTTGACTGGGTTCAGGTGAAGCAGAGATAAGCAATTTAATTTGTGCATGCTTTGGATCACGGTAACTTTGATTCTAATTGAGTGACTATAATGAGCGATTTTTGCTTAGGTAACGCAGACTAGTAAGCAATTTGACTGCTCAATACTTTACAAAACAGAAATGAGCAAGAAATTAATGAATGTCATCTATTTATTATGGGATTGAGGTGGGGGACAGTATCCTCACTGTTTCTTACTTGGATTAATTTTTCATTCACTGTATTAATTTTTTATGGGTTAACTATTAAACAGGGTTGCGTTGATGGTAAATGATGAGAAACATATGGAAAGACGGCTACCTAGTGGTGCTACTGCAATAGTTATAGGTGCTGATGGTTCCTTATATCTAGGTGGTACACAGAGAGGTTTTACTGTAGGTAGTAATGTACCAACTACACAGAAGTTAGATGGTTGTCTTAGTAATATCATCATTAATGGAGGGTAAATTAATATTTCTCTAATTGACTGGTTAAGCACATAGGCTTACGTGCCAGGGGGCAGGGGGCAGCTGCCCCCCATCTGACGGGTAGAGTGCAAAAAAAAAAAAAAAATAGTATATGTCTTTTAAAAACCAATATTTTCCCGTCTAGTTGGCAAAATAAAGTGCCCGAAATCTAACAAAACACTAATTTTACTTTTCTTTAATTGAATACCACATATTTGTACTGAATTGACTATGGGTTAAAACATTTTGTCTGAAGCCACTCTGAATTGTGCAACATTTTTCGGACATTGATTATTATTTGTGATTGCAACTGCAACAGTCTGATTGGTTGATTTGAATTCAGGTCAGCATAGAGTGGGATTTCGGTTGCAAAAACATTGGACCACTTTGAAGTGGCTTAACTCAAGGGCTGGAATAGCAGAAAAACGCAGTTGCGACAGTTAAATTTTCTCAGAGGCCCTATATACCTGTGAAATCGAAACAAGATTTTTTTCATCATTTCATTCATGTCATTCTCCTCCAAAATCGAGAATATTAGACCACTTCCAAGTGGGTGTTGTCTCAGTGTGGAATAGCAGGAAAACGTGTTTTTGATTGTTTAATTTTCCAAATTTTCTGAGGGAGGCCCCTGTACAGTAAGTGAAGCGCTTTTGGCACTCACTGGTGACCGGCGCTGCTGTTTGTAGACAGGAATTTTTCCAGCATTTCAGGCCTGCTGTCTACCTTAACATTCGTCGGGCCCGTACACCTGTGGTTTATCAGAGTGAGAAATAATTTGATTACTTTATAAAATGATAAATGTGCAAGTAATTAATGATTCTATAAGCTTATTGAATAGGTAATTAATAAACTCTTGAGTAAATCACCATTCATTTATAATGTTTTATGTTGCAGTTTAATAGCCTTAGATAAACCTAAACAATATGAACGAGCTGATATAGGTAGATGTTCATATGCTGTATCGCCATTTCAAAAACAAGGTAAACTTCTTTATATTTAAATGTATCTCATGAAAACCCAACAAGTTTATATTTTATCCTTTTGTCAAAATATCTATATTGAATACAAATGCTGTATTTATATACACCCACATGTTATGTGGGAGTGTATTCTTGTCACCCCTGTCTGTCAGTCGGTCACAAAACAGATCAGAGATCTTGAGATTTTTATTTTCAGGCATATTAGGATTATTCAACTAATCTAATTTTAAAGAAGAGGAAACTTAGACATTTAGAGTCGTTATTGCCCAAGTCACCAAAGCATAGTAAATACCCTACACTAAAATGAGTCATGAATCGATTTCAGTAAAACCTTGTACAGTACGCATTCCAAATTATTGTCCCCCGCCTTTCGAAAAAAGCAGGGGACTATTAAAATGGGTTCGTCTGTCTGTCCGTCCGTCCGTCCGTCTGCCGTCTGTCTGGGACACAATAACTCTCTTTCTAATTGAGTTAGAATGTTCAAACTTGGTGTAGACGTAGGTGTTTATTAGGTCAATACCTTGATGGAGTTCGAAGATGAGCATTTTCCGCTTAGGGTAAGCGGAGATAAGCAATTTGATTGGTTAATGCTTTGGGACACGATAACTTTAGTTCTAATTAAGTGAGAGTGATGAAACTTGGTGTATAGTTTCATTACATCGATACCTTGACTAAGTTCGATAATGAGCATTTTATGCTCAGGGTAAGCAGAGTGATAAGCAATTTGAAAAGTCATCTTGTGATAAATATGGTGCCTCCCTTCAAAAAACAGCTGATGGATGCATTTTCATTACCTTGCAACCTTGCAATGCTCTTGACTATTGACCAATGCGTTATGTGCTGCACTACAATTCTCTACATTTCTCAAAAAACTGCCAATGGTTAGAAATGTCTTTTGGTGCTATAATTCTTGTATTTTCCTACCTTTCCTATGGATATTAAAACATGTACCATCTTATCAACTAAACTATCTTGTCTAAATATTCCCATTATTTTTCTCTACCATGGTGCAAATAGATCAGTATCTCATCCTTTTGGGGAACAATTGTTTCAAAAGTAATCTTTAACCCTTTCAATGCTAGACGTAAATCCACTGCCTGTGCTATACCCTTTTTTGAGGAAAAAAGGGAGGTTGGAACTGAATGCCAAGCAGTACTTATGGAAGCTTTTATGAAAAATCTTTTTGTCTGTTGGGATGGCATGAGGTTGGGCTAAGAGGAAAAAATAGAATTTTGGAAATTTGCATAATAATGTAGTCACGTGACGTCATGGCGACCATTTTGGATTTCTCATTTCTCACTAAAGCTAACATGAAAACGAATTTTTCTCCATGAAATACCTAAAATATATTGTTTTTTTCACTGGATTTTGATAAAGATATATAAAATGAACAAAAATATCAATAGCAGCCATGAGCAATGCCGCCACGAACACGCGCATCACGTCTCCCGCTGCCATGACCACGTGCGGATTGCAATACCTTGTTTTTACTTTCACCCCCAAGTCCCATTTCATTATCAATATAGTCAGTCAATAGATCTACACGTTCGGGACTCAGGAATTGCCTACGTCTTTTACGATCCAGCAGGCCAGCATTATTATCAACATCAGAATTATTGTCAGAATCTACTGCAGACACAGGGCTATCGTGTTCACATTGGGCTTGTTCATCATGCACGGGAGACATAGCTAGCCATGGGCGGAACGTCGCGCAACAAATCACACACTTCATAATACCAATCACTGTCCTGACTACTATCATTATCAAGTAACTGGAAACGAATTATGTGTATCACCCGCCTTGAAATTGTCCACGTGTTGGTCAGCAAGACGTCATGCACGACTTCGTCGAGAGTGCATCATCTACGTTATCACTATGCACTCCGCCATTTTACAGTTTGCCGCTTTGAAACACGTGGAAATATGTTCTAGTGTATAGAAAATACAATAGATGGCACTTGCAGTTACGGTACTAATTTTAGCGAGGGCTTTACTGAGTACATGGTAATACCGGGTACGCGCATTTTACCGACATTTTATAATACACGGTACTACCGGGTATACGCAGTGAAAGGGTTAATAAAATGATGTTGTTAATTGTTTTCTGTTTGTTTTACTAAAATATAACCTTCTGCAACTTTATGTTTTGTCACTGTTTGCTTTTAATCCATTGTCTCAAGTGTTTTTTCTTTTTAACCTGTTAAATGCGTAGGGCATTATATAACGTCCTGGACAACTGCCACTCACCGTGTGTAGGGCGTAATATAATGCCTTGGAGGTATTTTCCCCAACCTATTCTTCGAACATACGATCGCAGCATGTGTAGGACATTATATTACGCCTGGTCGAGGAAATCTAATTGAAGAGAGACAACTCTATTTACAATTAGTTTTAATATGGTTTCAGATTCAGGAATAAAAAGGTCAAAAATGACATTTTTCGTCAAATTAATTACACAATAGGGGGTAGTTAACGTTTTAAAAACTACACACTTAACGGGTTAAAGGGGGGCTTATGTCGACTTTGCAACTCAAAGCAACTACTCGATCATATGAGCAACTGAGGACAACTGAGAGCAACTGAAATCGAAGCGCTCATGTCGATTCGGAACTGATAGCGATTACACTTAACATGTGACTGTTAATTTGTTCACCACGTGATCAACAAATTGGTGAATACCTTAGAAGCATTCCAAAGGCATGGTCAGTATTGCCACAATTCTGTCACTACATTATTGTTTACATCATCAACATTTGAGAAGTGGGTGTCTTCGTTTGCTTCCATTTGCTTATTTATAAAGTCACATGACACATGTCTCTTATCATGTGATGTTATTTGCATGGAAACAAGTTGACACCAGTTGTAAGAATGCTCATGTCAACTGCAACTAGTTGCAAAAAGTTGAACATGTGCAGTTGATTGCAACTGACTGCAACCAGTTGCTTCGAGTTGTAAGAGGTGCTCAGGTCAACCTTTTTCAGTTGCTCCCAGTTGGCAAAATGCCAGTTGCAAGGTCGACATAAGCCCCCATTTAAATCCATATAAGAAGGCCATAATTTTTAGGTATTAACATGTTTGGGGCACAACCTCTAGTTTTCGGGAAACAAAGTGTGGCGATGGTTTCTGATAGAAGGGACCTTAGTGAATATATTTGTAGTTTGCTAGCTCTGGAAACTACTGGCTAACTTCAGAAGAATAGAAAATCTAAGATGGCGGCCAAAAATTGTCTGAAATAGAGTTTGACAGACATTGTTGATGAAATGACTCATGTAATATGTCATTTTATAGGTTTTGTCGGTCACCTGACTTATTTGTGATAGTTGCCAATTCATCCCACAAATGATTGATCCAATATGACAGCTAAAATTCAAAATGGTGGCAGTGTTTTTTAAACACTTAAGACATAGGACATCGGGTGTATATCATATGGACAAACATTATCCACTTTACAGCCATACCCATGAAGCAATGGTGGAGTCTGGAGTATGTAATGCAGCATAATGTAAGATTGATAATTAGTCCTTAAACTATGGGGACCTAGTGGTAAATGCATGGTACACAATACAAATTGTATGCTTCCAAGTCACTGAATAGTTTTTGTCCCCCTCCTTTCGAAGAAAGCAGGGGACTATTACAATGGGTTCGTCTGTCTGTCTGTCGGTCCGACCGTCCGTCAAACTTTTTGGGACACAATAACTCTCTGTCTAATTGAGCTACAATGTTCAAACTTGGTGTAGGTGTTTATTAGGTCAATGCCTTGATGGAGTTTGAAGATGAGCATTTTCTGCTAAGGGTAAGCAGAGATAAGCAATTTGATTGGTTAATGCTTTGGGACACGATAACTGTAGTTCTAATTAAGTGAGAGTGTTGAAACTTGGTGTATAGCTTCATTACATCAATACCTTGACTAAGTTCTATAATGAGCATTTTCTGCTTAGGGTAAGCAGAGCGATAAGCAATTTGATTTGCCGAGACTTTGGAACACAATAACTCCCCTTCTAATTGAGGTAGAATGTTCAAACTTGGTGTAGGTGTTTATTAGGTCAATGTCTTGATGGAGTTCGAACATGAGCATTTTGGGCTTAGGTTAAGCAGAGATAAGCAATTTGATCGGTCAAGACTTTGGAACACAATAACTCTCATTCTAGTTGAGTTAGAATGTTCACACTTAGCGTAGGTGTCTATTAGGTGAATGCCTTGATGGAGTTCGAAGATGAAAATTTTCTGCTTAGGATAAGCAGGGATAAGCAATTTGATTGGTTGATGCTTTGGGACACGATAACTTTAGTTCTAATTAAGTGAGAGTGAGGATACTTGGTGTATAGCTTTATTATATCAACACATTGACTTAGTTCGATAATGAATATTTTCTGCTGTCATGTCATGGCTGAGTTTAATGATTTACATTGTTCAATGCTTTGGGACAAGATAACTTTGATTCTATCTGATAGAGAGTGATGAAACTTAGTGTATAGTTTGATGGCTTGATACTTTTGAAAAAAATAAATGTACGATTAATTAATATGTGTCATCTATTTATTTTGGGATTTCGGCGGGAGACATCAGCCTCACTGTTGGCTTGCTTTTCTAAAGATAGTGATCGCTTGGGAATTGGGGCATTCATATCCTTTAAAAAGAGTATTGTCGCTCAAGTCAAATAGAAGTTATCTTACAAAATCTGTTTCTTCTTCATAATGGCTGAATGGATTTCTCTGAAATGTGGTAAGGGTCACCCCAAGATGATAAAGATAAGAGTTTGTCTGAAAGTAGTTGCAGAATTTTGATAAATATTGGCATGGATGTTACTTAGTTTGAGGTTGTTTAGATTTATTCGGATAAAGTTGCTTGATCCCGTAGTTTTGGTGCAAGGGCACCTTGATTGAGCAAATGTTTGACTCCTCATAAACCCTTTAATGGGTTTCAACAAAATTTGGTAGGTAAGTTGATTGAGTGGTGCTTGTCCAGATCCGAAATTTGAAATTATCGCTGTTACCTTTCTT